TGTTTTGTTTTACCCCATATGTAACTCTGTGTTGTTGTTTTTATCGCACTGCTTTGCTTTATCTTGGCCAGGTCGCAGTTGTAAATGAGAACTTGTTCTCAACTGGTTTACCTGGTTAAATAAAGGTGAAATAAAAAAAATAAAAAAATACATTTTTAATTCAAAATTATTAACTGGACTTAATCAATCAACATAATAGTGATGACAGATGTGAGTAAATGTTTTATAAGGCCTACAGTTGCATAGGCCTGCATGATGCAAACATGCATAAAGCAAGCTCAGCCCTGTGAGTTCTATTGTCTATCAGTTGTTGTCTGTGTGTCTGGGTAGAGGAAATTCCCCTCCTAATTTAGTCTAAATATAATTTATATGAACAAATATAAGGTAGCTGCAGTGTGACAGGGTTTTTATCCCCCCCAGGGCCAGGAGTTTTTTTCAGGAGTTTTTTTAAAACCATGTGACCTGATTAGGAAAAACTGGTCCCATCATAGCCCATATAAAACCTTTTTACAACTGATTAATCACTGTCATACCAGAGTTTTCCTAGTTAGGTTAACATATAAGGAAACACTCCAAGCCCCAGGGGGTAAAAATTGCCCCACCGCTCTGGGACCTATGGTACCACCAGTCTGCTTGCAGTCGTCAGTTATCGTCAGGTATGTGGATGATCAGGGCTTTATTCAGGAACGTTTCTTGGGCTACTTTGATGTGTCAAGTGGGTGAGATGCGCAGTCTGTGTTTGACTTTATGAATTTTGAGATGTCTGAGTTTAACTTCATAGAGAAACTCGTTTTCCAAACCTACGATGGTGCAGCTGTAATGGAATGTATCTGCTATTTGTATTTACAGCAAAGTCCCTCCTGTTCCCTGATGAAGAGGTGATGACCACTCCACTACCATCGTCAACTCTCTCCTGACATGAACTGAAGCCACGTCTCATGTCCCCCGCTCATCCACTGGCACATTGAATGTTTCCCCTCCAAGCACTGTGAGTACCCCTTTCAATTTTCTCTCATTACTGTATGTAGAGTCAATCACATACACAATCACATTATTACCCATCAATGATTTTACTCTTTGCTTGAACTAACTCATTCTTAGCTCTTTTGTCTAACTGTGTAGTGTGTTGCGTTATTGTTTTTTGTCTTCCCAGTCAAATCCTGTCCTGGTCAAGCCTCTGAACACCTCAACTCATGCCTCATACATTCATTCAATCACTGCTGTGATCCCTTCCCAACACTGTGTAAGTAGCCCTCTCATTCCCATTCCCCATAATATTGTACTATAAATGTCTTTATTAAATGCTTTAGGTTCAAATAATTAGTCTTTGACGATTTTTGAAACACACTTTGTCATCTCCGTGCGGTCCGCACCTATACCGTGGGTCTCCCATCCTCCTCAATTTTTCAAGTCAAAAGCCTCCACTGTCTGAGGAATATCTCCCCCATCTCTCTCTAACACACACATGGCCGACAGGAGGGAAGAAAACACCTCAAATCCCTAACAGACACAGACACACACTGAAATCTGTCATCTTGAGTGGGCAGAGCTTGATGTCAGACCGCCAGAAGAAGCACAAACTCCACAGCCTCCAGACAACATTCAGACAACTTTTAGACAAGCTTCAGAGCACCACCTCTGTTTCTCCTCTTGTAGATCTGTGAGGGAGATAGGAAAGAAGAGAGAGTAGAGAGAGAGACCTCTGTGTAGGGCCTACAGTCGTACTGTCTTCTCTCCTGAGCGTAAAGAGAGGTATCCATAGCTAGATGTCTAAATGGGGTTTTTTTTGGGGGTTTTTGTTTTTGGGGTTTTTTTTTTTTTTTGTGAAAATTCTCTAAACCCCTTAGCCACAAAAAATTTGTTCAAAAAAGACACCCCTCGGTGCCCAAGGACCCTTAAAAATTAAAAATACCCAAAGAAAACCCTTTTTTAAACCCAAATCAAATTTTCCCAACCGGCCCGGGGTTTTAAACCCCTTTCAAAAACCCCCCAACCCCAAATAAGACTGTTGCTTTAACAAAGGGCCCTCTAGTAACTCAAAGCTTTCCCCAACCTAAACATACTACAACACAAACCCAAACAAACAACACCAATACCCGGCTCCAAACCCAACCCCCCCCCCTCCTTTAAACCCAAACCACCCACCCTGTTTCTCCCTTTACGCAAAACCCCATTTTCCCATCCCCCTTTTCCGCCTTCCCCCTTAACAACACATCCACAGTTCCCCAACTCTCGTCTGTGGCACTAGGTTCCACAGACAGATGACACGGCTGTTCCTCTCTCTCTCTGTGATATCTGTCAACCACCACTATTTATCAATGCTCTAAATATCAGCTAGCCCTATTTTCAGAAAATGATCCTGAAACATGCTGATGTCTCATTTGTCTGTCTGATAGAAAAGGGAAGTGTGTGTGCGTGTGCGTGTGCGTGCGTGCGTGCGCGTGCGTGTGCGTGCGTGTGTGTGTGTGTGTGTGTGAGTGAGAGTCTTGAGAGAGCTGTAAATGTGTGTGAGGTGATGACGGCCACCAGGGAGAACTCCTGTCTCCTGTGTGTGTGGGACATGTCTGAAACAGCAGAGCTGTGTTTGCATGTGTGTTATGCCTAGGCCTAGGTCATGTCTGTGTTGTTTTACCTGACCACGTGACCTGACCAGGTAAACCGTCTCTCTCAGTACCATGACGTACCATGGAGTGGATTGGAGATGCTCATGTTATTACACAGAAGTAGTAACAATGGCTGCCCATCCTACCCACTCTCAGAGCGGACAGGACATAGGCCCCCGTTCAATACAACCCTTTTCCTCCCTTCCCTGAGCACTGTTTCCCCTATTACATCCACCCTAACCATCAGCAGAGAAATAGGGTGACTGGACTGATGGGTCGATGCTGGGATGTCAACACTAGCTGATAGAGAATTCTAAGCAGTGTATGTCACACTGATAGTGTGTGTGTGTGTGTGTGTGTAAGACCCCTCTGTAACTGTACCCCACCCAAACCAGTCTAAATTCCTACATGCAAACTGACAGACATGGTCTGCGTAGACATTGGAGCCTGCAGCTCCATAGCGCCTATCACTCACAATGATTGGATCTAGGCTACATGGAATGGATTGCGGTTGAAATAGGCCTACTGTTGGCTGTAGAAAACGAGACTAAAAACCTAAACTGAGTTGTTGTGATGATGAGTTGACAGGCAAAGGTTTAAGAAACTAACTTTTCCTGATAGTCCTAGTTAGTTAAATAACTAGTTAGCAAGTTACAATGTAATAACATGTCTTGGTATACAATCTATTGATATAGGCTGTTACACTGTAGCCACAGACGGATAGAATCTTTGCTGTAGCCTACTGACTGGCTACTAGCTTTTTGATTAGTTGCCACGATGCGTGTCCCTTCCAACCATGGGACAAATGAAAGCCATACAGCTCAGAAGTTTCCAAACCATCTAGCTAGTCTATCCTGAAAAGTAAAGCCACACTTTTACGAAGAGAACAGTAAATCCGGCTACTCACAGCACACACAAGGCGTACGCCCCGTTAACACTTTCGCTGTCCCGAACCAGGAAACTCCCGTCCCGTCCAGCGCGGGCCAGCAGCTCCTCCGCAGCAGCGCGACTCAGGTCCCGGTGATACCACAACGGAGGTGCTATCCCCAGCAGCGACACCCCGCCGCCACCGGCCATCGCCCCAGCCCCAGAAAACACACGGTTTCCTTAGTTTATAAATTTGAACGAGACGATAAATCCGGGGAGTTAGAGTGCAAGTAATGTGAGTCCGACTTGGGAAACGCGAGAAAACTACGAAGTTAATACTTTTCGATGGGTCGTTTCTGTCGTTTCCTCAATTCCTGAAAGTCTGCCATGGAGGCTTCGCTGCTTTCGCGCTTCCCACGGAAATCAGCCTATGTAAATCCTGGAGATGGAGCGAGCTGGAGAGGGGGATGCATCGCAGCTACAGCGAGCTAAACTCTGTCCCGTTCGCGGTTCATTTCAGCCAAGACACAAGACTAGGCCTCACAAAAAAATAAACGTCCTGTCGTGTGGTGCGTGTTTATGCAGCTAACTGTTTATTAACATAGTAGTAATTAATACGAGTTCACTTCGTGTTTTTACATTGTTGCACTTTCTATGCGAGGTGTGAGTCCACCTAGTGGTCATAACACAGAAGCGCTCCCACAGGACTGTGACATCACACTTTTGTTTTGTAATTTATTGTAACTTATTTTGTAAACCAAGCCTGATCCTTCAACCTATTCCTAAAGCTTAATCCCAGCCAAATTCATGTTTAAAATAAGTGCTTTGTCTGTGTCAACACACGCACGCACGTACGCGCACACACGTAGTGAGTGAGGTGAGTGTGACCTCGAGAGAGGCTGGGTATTAATAGCCAGATGGAACGCATCCATCTTTCTGCTATTCCTGGCTATGTCATCACACAGAGCGTGGTGTGTGTGTAAGTGTGTGTGGAGGCTACATGAATGTGAGTCTCTGTACATGTGTGTGTATGTGTGCATGTGAGAGAGTGTGTGCTGCATCTTAGGCAGCATGGGTGAGGACTATGGCCTGGTAACCACAGGTAATGGCAGGCTAGCCACGCCCTTAACACACTCTGACAAATGGAAACATAAAAGAACAGACTATACGCACGCACACACACACACACACACTGGGGAATGGAACCCCATAATTACTGAGAACTGAAGCAGATTGGCCTCCCTCTAAGACTGGTCGTGTTTTTTTGGTTCCCTGCAATATCCTACCATCCTAGACAGAGAGTAAGGTTCTGTTGGCAGCCTCAGTGCCAAGGCAGGCTGAGTGCTAAACACTAAACACTGAACCCTTCTACGGGAGAGGAAACAGAGGAGGGAAGGGAGAAGAGGACAGCATGAAGAGGGAGTGAGGGTGAGGACTGAGGAAAGAGGTAATTATTTTCCTGTGTCTCTGGTCAAAAGTAGTGCATATGTGTAATAGGATGTCATTTGATTTGAGACATATAGCCACAGAGAGACAGTTAAAGTGTGTAGGGAGACGAGGACACATAAAACCATCTATGACATAAGCATCTGTGGTTTTATTCAGAGCAGGACAACACTTAATGACATTGTTGCCAGGAGGAGGAGTGTTGCGGGGGCAGCACGTTGCCAGGGGGCGTGGTTTAAGTAGTATTCTGCCACCTTCTCGTTGGGGTTCTTTCCGGTGAACCACAGCTGCATGCAGCGGCCAGAAGACTTGGAGAGGGAAGTGTAGCTGTAGGAGTCAGACCAGATCTTCTCACACATAATCTGGGCTGTAGGGAAGACATCTGTCCACTTACGACACATAGCCTCAGCAGGACAGCGGTTACGCCCTGAGAGAGAGGGAGGAGAGGATGGAAGAGGGATAGAGTAGAGAGAAGAGAAGGGGAGGAGAGAGGACAGGATGAAGAAACAATGTTTCATCACAATGTTTTATTTTGCATTTAAATAAAACAATATATGTTTGTGTGTGTCTGTGAGAGAGCGTATACCTGTGTGTGTGCGTGTATGTGTCTGTCAAATCAAATCACATTTTGTTAATCACATGCTTTGTAAACAACAGGTGTAGACTAACAGTGACATGCTTACTTACGGGCCCTTCCCAACAATGCAGAGAGAAAGAAAATAGAGAAATAATAGAAAAGTAATAACACAGTTAATAATAACAGTAATAATAAATATACAATGAGTACGATAACTTGGCTATATACACGGGGTACCAGTAGCGAGTCGATGTGCAGGGGTATGAGGTAATTGAGGTAGATATGTACATATAACTAGGAATAAAGTGACTAGGCAACAGGATAGATAATAAACAATAGCAGCAGGGTATGTGATGAGTAAAAAAAGTGAGTGCAAAAAGGGTCAATGCAGATGGTCCGGGTAGCTACTTGGTTCTATTTAACTAACTATTTAGCAGTCTTATGGCTTGGGGGGTAGAAGCTGTTCAGGGTCCTGTTGGTTCCAGACTTGGTACATCGGTACCGCTTGCCGTGCGGTAGCAGAGAAAACAGTCTATGACTTGGGTGTCTGGAGTCATTGACAATTTTTAGGGCCTTCCTCTGACACCGCCTGGTATAGAAGCGTTGATGCAGTCAGTCAAGATGCACTCAATGGTGCAGCTGTAGAACTTTTTGAGGATCTGAGGGCCCATGCCAAATCTTTTCAGCCTCCTGAGGGGGGAAAGGTGTTGTCGTGCCCTCTTAACGACTATGCTGGTGTGTGTGGACCATGATAGATCCTTAGTGATGTGGACACTAAGGAACCTGACGCACTCGACCCGCTCCACTACAGCCCTGTTGACAGTGGTGTAAAGTACTTGAGTAAAAATACTTGAAAGTACTACTTAAGTCGTTTTTTAGGGTATTTGTACTTTATTTAACTATTTATATTTTTGCCTACTTTTACTTTTACTTCACTACATTCCTAAAGAAAATTATGTACTTTTTACTCCATACATTTTCCCTGACACCCAAAAGTACTCGTTATATTTTGAATATTTAGCAGGATAGGAAAATGGTCTAATTCGCACACTTATCAAGAGAACATCCCTGGTCATCCCTACTGCCTCTGATCACTAAACACATGCTTGTAAATAATGAGTGTTCGAGCGTGCGCCTGGCTATCCGTACATTTTTTAAAAAGAGAATCGTGCCGTCTGATTTGCTTAATATAAGGAATTTGAAATTATTTATACTTTTACTTTTACATTTAATACTTAAGTATATTTTATCAATTACATTTACTTTTGATACATAAGTATATTTAAAACCAAATACTTATAGACTTTTACGTAAGTTGGATTTTACTGGGTGACTTTCACATTTACTTGAGTCATTTTCTATTAAGGTATCTTTACTTTTACTTGAATATGAAAATTGGGTACTTTTTCCACCACTGCCTGTCAATGTGAATGGGGTCATGCTCGCCCGCCGTTTCCTGTAGTCCACGATCAGCTCCTTTGTCTTGCTGACGTTGAAGGAGAGGTTGTTGTCCTGGCACCACACTGCCAGGTCTCTGACCTCCTTCCTATAGGCTGTCTCATCGTCGTCGTGGGTGAACAGGGAGTACAGGAAGGGACTAAGCATGCACACCTGACGGAACCCCGTGTTGAGGGTCAGCATGGCGGATGTGTTGTTACCTGGTGTGTGTCTTTGTCTGCGTGTGTGTGTGTGGGTGTATGTGTGTGTGTGTGTGTGTTTGTGTGTGTGTGTGTGTGTGTGTGTGTGTGTGTGTGTGTGTGTGTGTGTGTGTGTGTGTGTGTGTGTGTGTGTGTGTGTGTGTGTGTTGTGTGTGTGTGTGTGTGTGTGTGTGTGTGTGTGTGTGTGTGTGTGTGTTTGTGTGTGTGTATGTGTGTGTGTGTGTGTGTGTTTGTGTGTGTATGTGTGTGTGTGTGTGTGTGTGTGTGTGTGTGTGTGTGTGTGTTTGTGTGTGTATGTGTGTGTGTGTGTGTGTGTGTGTGTGTGTGTGTGTGTGTGTGTGTGTGTGTGTGTGTGTGTGTGTGTGTGTACCTGTGGTCCAGTCCCAGCCGTAGTGCCAGTCCTGTTTGCAGGTGAAGTCATCCTTGCAGTCGTCCCACCAGCTGTGGCAGTCCTCCTGACACAGAGGCACGTGTAGGATCCTCTCCTTGCGCCAAGACTGGTCCACCTACACAATACAAGTCATAGAATGTTGATTCATTCAACATTTTAAAGCATAAAATACATATAGAAACTAGCCTTGAGAAACTCCTTGATTTCCCTCATTCAATATTTTCTTTGTGGCGCACATACACCTGCTCATCGAACATCTCATTCCAAAATCATCGGCATTAATATGAAGTTGGTCCCCCCTTTGCTGCTTTAACAGCCTCCACTCTTCTGAGAAGGCTTTCCACTAGATGTTGGAACATTGCTAAGGGGACTTGCTTCCATTCAGCCACAAGAGCATCAGTGAGGTCGGGCACTGATGTTGGGCGATTAGGCCTGGCTCACAGTCGGTGTTCCAATTCATCCCAAAGGTGTTCGATGAGGTTGAGGTCAGGGCTCTGTGCAAGCCAGTCAAGTTCTTCCACACCGATCTCAACAAACCATTTCTGTATGGACCTCGCTTTGCGCATGGGGGCATTGTCATGCAGAAACAGGAAAGGGCCTTCCCCAAACTGTTGCCACAAAGTTGGAAGCACGGAATCATCTAGAATGTCATTGTATGCTGTAGTATATCACTGGAACTAAGGGGACTTGTATCACTGGAACTAAGGGGCCTAGCCCGAACCATCAAAAACAGCCACAGACCATTATTCCTCCTCCACCACCTTTACAGTTGGCACTATGCATCCGGGCAGGTAGCGTTCTCCTGGCATCCGCCAAACCCAGATCTGTCGATCTGACTGCCAGATGGTGAAGCGTGGTTCATCACTCCAGAGAGTGCGTTTCCACTGCTCCAGAGTCCAATGGTGGCGAACTTTACACCACTCCAGCGGACGCTTGGCATTGCGCATGGTGATCTTAGGCTTGTGTGCAGCTGCTCGGCCATGGAAACCCATTTCATGAAGCTCCCAACGAACAGTTATTGTGCTGAAGTTACTTCCAGAGGCAGTTTGGAACACGGTAGTGAGTGTTGTAACCAAGGACAGACGATCTTTACGCGCTACGCGCTTCAGCACTCGGCGGTCCCGTTCTGTGAGCTTGTATGGCCTACCACTTCGCAGCTGAGCCGTTGTTGCTCCTAGACGTTTCCACTTCACAATAACAGCATTTACAGTTGACCGGGGCAGCTCTAGCAGGGCAGACATTTGACGAACTGACTTTTTGGAAAGATGTTGAAAGTCAGTGAGCTCTTCAGTAAGGCCATTCTACTGCTAATGTTTGTCTATGGAGATTGAATTTGAAGGGGTGTCCACATACTTTTGTATATGTAGTGTACTTTATTTTAGTAGTTGTGACATGGCTGAGACCATGGCTGAGACACCGAGGGGAATCAATTAAAATGGCCCGGGTTGAACCGTGCTTCTACATCTGCATTGCTTGCTGATTGGGGTTTTAGGCTGGGTTTCTGTATAGCACTTTGTGACATCTGCTGATGTAAAAAGGGCTTCATAAATACATTTGATTGATTGATATGGCATGTCACGTGACCGGGCGAAGCTGGTGAGGGAGGTGCGCCTCGCTGAAATCAAACAGTAATCTGTGCCACTCGGTCTTGTTGTCAAGAAGGCAGCTTGATGCATTGTTCAAAAACATACAATCCCTTTTCCAGAAAATATATGTTTGAATATTTTAGACTAGTTTTCATTAAGAAGGCAGATAAAGTGTTTTTATCAAAAGCAATCCCTTTTGTATGTGAAAACACAGAATCTTATTCATTACTCCACGTGGTTAACCTAGGCCTACATCACTTTTGTTTTGAGCCGACTTTGCCGTAAACCAGAACGGGGCACCTGGTTCACTCCCGGGAGGCATCCCGGTTCCAAAACTAATGCAATCACTTTTCACCCGGTGCAAAATACATCCGCCCAGGCCAGCTTATTCAAATTCCCTCAATACCTTTAGTCTAGTCAGGCCACATGCCAGATTATCTGCCTAGGAAAAATGCTATGCCTTTACCTGCTGTATCCAGGGCCCCAGGTGAGGTGAGCACTCGTAGAAGCAGGTGTCCTGGGTGAAGTGTTTCTTGCATTTGGGGGTCATGATGCCACAGTGGTTCCAGTTAAAGTTGTACAGATAGGAGTTATCATCGTGGGCCTCCGTACTGGTGTTAGCTGTACAACATGCATTATCTCTCCATGGAGCACACTACAGGAGGAAAACAACATTATCCTTCCACGGAGCACACTACAGGAGGAAAACAACATTATCCCTCCACGGAGCACACTGCAGGAGGAAAATAACATTATCCCTCCATGGAGCACACTACAGGAGGAAAATAACATTATTTTTCCATCCATTCCACTCACTCTCCTACCATAAACACACATACGCACACACACACACACACACCTGTCGATAGAGTTGTCCTTCGGCGCCAGGCTCTTTTTTGTGATGTTTGGCATCCATACACATGTTGAGCATTTCTAAAGACAGAGCCCGGCTGGCCAGGGATAGCAGCAGGACAAAGACCCACCACATGTCTCTACAGCTGGGTTGGAGGAGGAGAGAACACACAGATACTAACTACACACACTGCACTTCTATCAACTACACACTGCATGGGTAAAGCAGACACACACACACACACACACAGTCTTGTATACACCCACACACACACACACACACATACACACACACACACACACACACGCACACACTCACAGACATACATACACACACACACACACACACACACACAGATTAACAACCATAGAAATCTCCTAAAAACACACTGAGAAAGATGTTTTACAGTTACCTGCTGATATATTACAGGAATAACATTTTATTTTTGAGTTAAACCCTTCCAGCACACACATTCTTCACAAAGCATAGGCATCTATCAATTTACTGAAAATCTCACACTCCCTCAAATGAACCAAAATCTAGAGGTATGGAAACAAATGAGCAAATGAGAAGAATTCAAAAAATTATTCACAATACCTTGTAAAATTCCTTGGTGCAGCAGTTCTGTTTCAATCACCTAAACGTGATTTGGAGTCCTTTACAGCGCAGAGCAGCTTTTGTAACCCCAGGTGTGTGTATGATCATGTGTGTCCGTGGCGTGTCTTGGAATGGAACAAAAACTCCCCTGACATGCAAATGACTCCTACAATCAACTGAGAATGGTCTCAATGGAGCAAAGTCTGCCTCTGTGTGTGTTTGTCTTATCGAGTTTTTGTCTTATCTCAAGCCAAGGTCTCAGCCTCATTACTGTAAGATTCCATCCACCAGTAGTTTATGTGCTAATAGCGATTTAAATGTGAAACGGCAGCATGACCTGACAGATTACTGCAATAGAGACATAAAACTCCCCTTTTGTTATCATTCTTAAAGAGAACATGACCTGTGACAGATCTAACATAGGATGTTGCAGTTATTTATCTATCATAACATAAGTTTGTTTAGGGTCATTGCATTTGTGATTTTATAACTTTTATAATATGTGTAACTCCTCAGTTTTATGACAGCTGACTCAGAGGTCAAGGTATCCATATTATCCAGCATAATGCCATTACCACCAAGCATCACGTGATTCTTCACTTTTTGGGTTTCCAGGACTTCACTGCCTAAACATCGTAAAGAATACTGTCCGAAGATGCTCTTCCCGCTCAGGCCCCAGAGCTTGTAGGGATGGGCGTTGGCAGTTGAATCTGAATAAAGAAGTACGTTGAGTTTAGTTTAGTTTATTTAGTTTAGCTAAAACAGTAAGTGGCGGCATGCACCCGCAATAATATCAAAGAAGAAGACCCCATACAGTAGGTGATTGCAATACACAAGTAAGTGTAGTCTGATATAAAAGCAGAGATAGAACAATGAGATGGTTTAGTTATAAAAAATATTTGCTAAAACTCTAAAGACGAAGTAGAAAAAGTAGTAGTAGTAGTAGTAGTAGTAGTAGTAGTAGTAGTAGTAGTAGTAAGCGGAACGTTTGTGGAAGGATATGCGTACACACCGGGAGAGTTTACAAGAAATCAATGGTTTCCGGTCAGTTTAAATGTGGAAATTTATATTTTGACAGCTAGTCGGGATAACGTTAGTGCTTTTACAGGTAAGACGGTGAATATTTTTTTATGTATATATTTTTTTATGTATGTATAAAATATTGTTTTGTAGCATCGCTAGCTAGCCAACGTTATTGCAGTGTTGGCTACATGATCTATGTGCAATGATAGCTAGCTACATTATGCAGGGTGAAGAGTGTTTGCCAGCTAGTAAGGAAGATCTGCAATAACTTAACAGATACCATTTTAAAGCATTCAAAACCTAATCTGTGTGATTCTTACTGTAGCTAGCTAGGTAGCTAACCTACCCAAGTTAGCAGCTAGGAGCTATGTTGTGACATTTCTTACAGCTAGCTACACTCCCCACACATTATTTTAGGGTCACTGAAACCAAAATCTGATCAGCTGTGTACTAATCTAGCCAAGTCTGTTATCTAGGTGGGTGCTGATAGCTATCCTGTCTCAGTGAAGTGTGTGTGTCCTCTCAGACAGAGATGTCCACGCAGTTCCCCTTGCTGTTTCCCTGGATGACAGAGTCTCTGTAGTTCAACCTGGACCGGCCGTGTGTGGATGAGACAGAGCTACACCAACAGGAGCAACAGCACCAGACCTGGGTACATACAAACACACACACTGAGAGAGAAAACAGGGCAACAGTAGCAGGAGTCACAGAGCCAACCTGGGTTCAGACACTTACACGCACGCACACAAACACACACACACACACACACACACACACACACACACACACACACACACACACACACACACACACACACACACACACACACACACTCACACACACTGACCTCTCCTGTCTCTCCCCTTTAGTTACAGAGCATTGCAGAGAAGGACAATAGCCTGATGCCTATTGGAAAGCCAATCTTCGAGGTATCTGAGCTTTAAATAATGTTTATTTTACTTAATTAGACAACTAACCTGTCGGTCACTCATAATTTCATTCAAAAGTTGACCCAAATGTATACGAGATGTGTATGGTTTTTGACCAAGTCCTGCGATATTATATTTTGTGGTTATTCCCAACAGCTGCCAGATTAGGGGGAGTCATCAGGGCCAGAGGAGGGTGAGGGAGGGCAAGCAAGAGCTTTAATTATACCATCCAAAAAAAGAGTTAGGAGAGGCTATAGTAGGAGAGAATAGCACATACAAACACGTCTTTTGTATTGCTTGCTAGCTCACATTCAAACCAAATAAAGTTAAAGATGGTGATCCTAAACCCCCTACCCTGTGTAAACTTGGTTATGGTAGTGTGGTACACAGAAAGGGAGTTTAGCAACTAGGTAGAGGTTTTAATATCTCATGGCATTTCATTCCTCAAATTATACACACATCGTTTCACCGGACGTGCTACCTGTCAGGTGTTGCTGTAGGTAGGTGTGGTGTGGAATCAGGCGCAGGACGCAGAAGTTAAGTCCAACAAAGACTTTTAGTAGATCACACAAAATATAACCCAAAACAGCCCGGAGGCGAGAAAAGCGCACACAGGCGTAAACAAACGGGCGCACTAAACATGTGCGTAATCCTCTCCTAACGAAACAAGGAGGTAAGCTACAAATAGCGCACCGAAACGGGTAGCGCAGCAACACGACAACGGGAACAATTACACACAACACCTAAACTCACAACAAGGAACTAAATAGGGTGCTTAATGAGACATAACACAAAACAGGTGTGACAAACAGACAAAACCAATCAAACATGAAACATAGAACGGTGGCAGCTAGTACTCCGGAGACGACGACCGCCGAAACCTGCCCGAACAAGGAGGAGGGGCCGCCTCGGCCGAAACCGTGACAGTACCCCCCCCCTTGACGCGCGGCTCCAGCCGTGCGCCGCCCCCGGCCTCGGGGACGACCAGGAGGACGCGGAGCAGGGCGCGTAGGATGACCACGATGGAATTCGGTCAGCAGGGACGGGTCCAGAATGTCCCTCCTCGGCACCCAGCACCGCTCCTCCGGGCCGTACCCCTCCCACTCCACGAGATATTGGAGACCCCCCATCCGGCGTCTAAATCTAGGATGGTCCGAACAGTGTACGCCGGAGCCCCCTCGATGTCCAACGGGGGCGGAGGAGTCTCTTCTATCTCAAAGTCCTGGAGTGGACCAGCTACCACCGGCCTGAGGAGAGACACATGGAACGAGGGGTTAATATTCTTGTAATCAATGGGCAGTTGTAACCTGTAACACACCTCGTTCAATCTCCTCAGGTCTTTAAAAGGCCCCACAAACCGCCGACCCAGCTTCCGGCAGGGCAGGCGGAGGGGCAGGTTTCTGGTTGAGAGCCAGACTCGATCTCCAGGTGCGTACACTTGCCCCTCACTGCGGTGGAGGTCGGCGCTCGTCTTCTGTCGACGGATGGCTCGCTGCAGATGGACGTGTGCAGCGTTCCACGTCTCCTCCGAGCGCCGCACCCACTCATCCACAGCAGGGGCCTCGATCTGGCTCTCATGCCAAGGTGCCAGAACCGGCTGGTACCCTAACACACACTGGAAAGGGGTTAGTTTAGTGGAGGAGTGGCGGAGAGAGTTCTGTGCCATCTCGGCCCAGGGCACATATCTCGCCCACTCCTCCGGCCGGCCCTGACAATATGACCTCAGAAACCTACCCACATCCTGGTTGACTCGTTCGACCTGCCCATTACTCTCCGGGTGGTAACCCGAGGTAAGGCTCACCGAAACCCCCAACCGTTCCATAAAGGCTCTCCAGACTCTGGAGGTAAACTGGGGGCCTCGATCAGACACTATATCCTCGGGTACCCCGTAATGCCGGAAGACGTGAGTAAATAGAGCCTCAGCGGTCTGTAGGGCAGTAGGAAGACCCGGCATGGGAAGGAGACGACAGGCCTTCGAGAACCGATCCACAACGACCAGGATGGTGGTATTCCCTTGTGAGGAGGGAAGGTCGGTAACAAAATCCACCGAGAGGTGAGACCAGGGTCGTTGTGGAATGGGCAGGGGTTGTAATTTTCCCCTGGGCAAGTGTCTGGGCGCCTTACACTGGGCACACACTGAGCAGGAGGAGACATAAATCCTCACATCCCTGGCTAACGTTGGCCACCAGTACTTTGTACTAAGGCAGTGCACTGTCCGGCCTATACCTGGATGTCCAGAGGAGGGTGACGTGTGAGCCCAATAAATCAGCCGATCCCGGACCTCGAGCGGGACGTACGTCCGACCCACCGGACACTGTGGAGGGCTAGGGTCGGTGCGTAATGCCCGCTCGATCTCCGCATCGACTTCCCATACCACCGGTGCAACCAGACAAGACTCCGGTAGTATGGGAGTGGGTTCCACGCACCTCTCCTCCGTGTCATACCGCCGAGACAGGGCATCTGCCTTCCCGTTCTGGGACCCAGGGATGTAAGTGATCTTGAACACAAACCGGGCGAGAAACATAGTCCATCGAGCCTGGCGAGGATTCAGTCTCCTAGCTGCCCGAATGTATTCCAGGTTACGGTGGTCAGTCAGAATGAGGAAAGGTTGTTGAGCCCCCTCAAGCCAATGCCTCCACACCTTTAGGGCCTGTACTACGGCTAACAGCTCCCTGTCCCCTACGTCATAATTCCGCTCCGCCGGACTGAGCTTTTTAGAATAAAAAGCACAGGGGCGGAGTTTAGGTGGTGTGCCGGACCGTTGTGAAAGAACTGCCCCGATACCGGCCTCAGACGCGTCTACCTCTACTTGGAAGGGTAAAGTGGGATCCGGGTGCGCCAGCACTGGAGCCGAGGTAAACAGGTCCTTCAGTCTCCCAAAAGCCCTGTCCGCCTCAGCCGACCACCGCAAGCGCACAGGACCCCCCTTCAGAAGAGACGTTATAGGAGCTGCCACCTGTCCAAATCCCCGGATAAACCTCCGGTAGTAATTTGCAAAACCCAAGAACCGCTGCACCTCTTTAACCGTAGTTGGGGTTTGCCAATTACGCACGGCAGACACACGGTCAACCTCTATTCTCACCCCTGACGCAGACAACTGGTAACCCAAAAAGGAGACTGACTCCTGAAAGAACAGACATTTCTCGGCTTTGACATACAGGTCATGCTCCAACAATCTCCTCAATACTCTGCGCACCAGGGCTACATGCTCGGCCCGAGTAGAACTGTATACTAGAATATCATCTATGTACACCACTACTCCCTGCGCCTGCATGTCCCGGAAAATCTCATCTACAAAAGATTGGAAGACTGATGGAGCATTCATTAAACCATATGGCATGACGAGATACTCGTAATGGCCGGAGGTAGTACTAAATGCTGTCTTCCACTCATCGCCCTCCCTAATGCGCACCAAGTTATATGCGCTCCTGAGGTCCAATTTTGTGAAGAACCGTGCCCCGTGTAAGGACTCCGTCATGGTCGCAATCAGCGGGAGTGGATAACTATATTTCACAGTCACCTGATTGAGACCGCGGTAATCAATACACGGACGCAAACCTCCATCCTTTTTCTTCACAAAAAAGAAGCTTGAGGACGCGGGAGAAGTGGAGGGCCGTATGTATCCCTGTCTCAGAGACTCGGCAATGTATGTCTCCATTGCCCCTTTCTCCTCCTGTGACAAAGGATACACATGGCTCCGCGGGAGCGCAGCTCCTGCCTGGAGGTCTATCGCACAATCCCCCTGTCTATGAGGCGGCAACCGTGCCGCTCTTGTCTTACTAAACACGAGTACCAAATCCTCATACTCAGGCGGAATGTGCAGTGCTGGCATCTGGTTCGGACTCTCCACCGAGGTCGCCCCTACGGAAACACCCAGACATAGCCCCTCACACTGAGCAGACCACCCTTTAAGAGCCTTCTCTCGCCACGAAATCGTAGGATCATGGGTAATCAACCAGGGAAGCCCCAGTACCACCGGATACGCAGGAGAGTCGATCAGATAGAGTTGAATCGTCTCCTCATGACCCCCCTGCGTCTTCATCCTAAGTGGCGCCGTGACCTCCCTAATCAACCCAGATCCTAACGGACGACTATCTAGGGCATGTACAGGGAAAGGCTTATCAACCGGAAGGAGGGGAATCCCTAACTCAACACAGAATTTACGATCTACAAAATTCCCAGCTGCGCCTGAATCGACTAGCGCCTTATGCTGGGAACGAGGTGCAACCTGTGGAAAACAAACAGGTATAGTTATGTGTACGACAGAAAGCTCTGGGTAAGTAGGGCGCCTACTCACCTGGGAGGACTCCCCAATGTGTGACCTGCCGTCTCCCTCACCAGGGGACCCTCCCCAGCACCTAGCCGCGGTGTGCCCTCCGCGGCCACAGTTGGTGCAGGAGACCGCCCCCCTCGGGCTCCTTCTTCTCCCCCCTCTAGCGCCAGCACCTCCGAGCTCCATCGGGCTCGCATCGGAGGCGCTGGAGGGTGGAATGGGCGACCCCCACCTGGGACGTCCGTGGGTCGCGAGCAGGGTGTCCAGCCGAATGGCCATGTCCACCAACTGGTCAAATGATAGTGTAGTATCCCTGCACGCTAACTCTCTGCGGACGTCCTCCCGGAGGCTGCATCTAAAGTGGTCTATGAGGGCCCGCTCATTCCACCCTGCATCTGCCGCTAGAGTCCGGAACTCCAGCGCAAACTCTTGAGCGCTCCTCATCCCCTGTCGGAGGTAGAATAGACGCTCCCCCGCCGCCTTCCCCTCTGGTGGATGGTCGAAGACCGCACGGAAGCGGCGGGAGAACTCCGCATAGGTGACAGTGGCGGCGTTTATTCTCCTCCATTCGGCGTTGGCCCACTCCAACGCCTTGCCGGTGAGACAGGAGATGAGGGCGGAAACGCTCTCGTGTCCCGAGGGCGCCGGGTGTACGGTGGCAAGGTAGAGTTCCACCTGTAACAGGAACCCCTGACACCCGGCAGCGGTGCCGTCGTACGCCCTCGGGAGCGAGAGCCGAATCCCACTGGGTTCCGGTTGTTGGACGGGCGGGCTGACCGATGGTGATGGTGCGGTAGGTGGAGGTGTGGGTACATCGCTGGTCTCCCAACGATGGAGAATGTTCATCACCCGGTCCAGGGCGTGCCCGATCTGGTTAATCCGATCGTCTTGACCACGGAGACGCTCCTCCATGATGTCGGTGGGTGCTCCTGCTGATTCCATGCGATGGTGTGTAATTCTGTCAGGTGTTGCTGTAGGTAGGTGTGGTGTGGAATCAGGCGCTGGACGCAGAAGTTAAGTCCAACAAAGACTTTTAGTAGATCACACAAAATATAATCCAAAACAGCCCGGAGGCGAGAAAAGCGCACACAGGCGTAAACAAACGGGCGCACTAAACATGTGCGTAATCCTCTCCTAACGAAACAAGGAGGTAAGCTACAAATAGCGCACCGAAACGGGTAGCGCAGCAACACGACAACGGGAACAATTACACACAACACCTAAACTCACAACAAGGAACTAAATAGGGTGCTTAATGAGACATAACACAAAACAGGTGTGACAAACAGACAAAACCAATCAAACATGAAACATAGAACGGTGGCAGCTAGTACTCCGGAGACGACGACCGCCGAAACCTGCCCGAACAAGGAGGAGGGGCCGCCTCGGCCGAAACCGTGACACTACCTTGTCCCGGACCTGCTGTTTTTGACTCTCTCCCTCCCTCTACCGCACCTGCTGTCTCGACCTCTGAATGCTCGGCTATTAAATCCAGCTGGCATTTACTCCTGAGGTACTGACCTGTTGCACCCTCTACAACTACTGCGATTATTATTTGACCCTGCTGGTCATCTATGAACGTTTGAACAACAACTCTTATAGTCTCCACCCGGCACAGCCAGAAGAGGACTGGCCCCTCAGAGCCTGGTTCCTCTCTAGGTTTCTTCCTAGGTTCCTGCCTTTCTAGGGAGTTTTTCCTATCCACCATGCTTCTACATCTGCATTGCTTGCTGTTTGGGGTTTTAGGCTGGGTTTCTGTATAAGCACTTTGTGACATCTGCTGATGTAAAAAGGGCTTTATAAATACATTTGATTTGATCGTTTACCATTTTGCGGCAACGTTTGGATGAAAATAAGACAGTGGTCCTTTAATTTATAGTGGCTGTTAAGGATGTTTTCTGTCATTTTCCCATGCTCACTCTGGTGTGTGTGTGGTTGTTTTTGTTTGTGTTCTCTGTGGGTGTGTAGCAGACATTTGACAAGGAGGAAGAGGAGGAGGATGAGGATGAGGAAGATAGTGAAGAAGACTCTGAGAGGACATAGATGAGATGAACGACTACAACGAGTCACCGGACGACGGCGAGGTCAACGCGCACACACACACACAATCAGGGGTTAGGGGTCACGACTATGGAACACTAAGGGAAATACTAGGACTTCTTATTATACATTTCACTCATCCCTCTCTCATCTTGCTCAAACTACATGTGGATATGGAGGGAGCAGACCAAGACCAGTGGATGATCTAGACCAGAGTAATCCTCGCTACTCTCTGATTCCCCCTTAGTAGCGCTCCAGCAGGATAGGTGCTCATCTACTCTGCCTGACAGTGGCTTATGGCTGGTGAACTTTCCCTGCTGTTCAATGTATGTCATGTATTTATTGATGCCACATAGACCTGTAAAACACGTGAGATGCTGTCCGAGAGCGATATTCAACCAGCAGGGGGCACTAAGCAGAAGGCAGCAGGAGACTAGGAGGGTAAGGCAGCAGGAGACTGGGAGGGTTGGCAGCAGGAGACTGGGAGGGTTAAGGCAGCAGGAGACTTGGAGGGTAAGGCAGCAGGAGACTGGGAGGGTAAGGTAGCAGGAGACTGGGAGGGTAAAGGCAGCAGGAGACTAGGAGGGTAAGGTAGCAGGAGACTGGGAGGGTTAAGGCAGCAGGAGACTGGGAGGGTTAAGGCAGCAGGAGACTGGGAGGGTAAGGTAGCAGGAGACTGGGAGGGTTAAGGCAGCAGGAGACTGGGAGGGTTACGGCAGCAGGAGACTGGGAGGGTTAAGGCAGCAGGAGACTGGGTGGGTTAAGGCAGCAGGAGACTAGGAGGGTTAAGGCAGCAGGAGACTGGGAGGGTTACGGCAGCAGGAGACTGGGAGGGTTACGGCAGCAGGAGACTGGGAGGGTTAAGGCAGCAGGAGACTGGGTGGGTTAAGGCAGCAGGAGACTGGGAGGGTTAAGGCAGCAGGAGACTGGGAGGGTTACGGCAGCAGGAGACTGGGAGGGTTAAGGCAGCAGGAGACTGGGTGGGTTAAGGCAGCAGGAGACTAGGAGGGTTAAGGCAGCAGGAGACTGGGAGGGTTAAGGCAGCAGGAGACTGGGAGGGTTAAGGCAGCAGGAGACTGGGAGGGTTAAGGCAGCAGGAGACTGGGAGGGTTACAGCAGCAGGAGACTGGGAGGGTTAAGGCAGCAGGAGACTGGGAGGGTTAAGGCAGCAGGAGACTAGGAGGGTAAGGTAGCAGGAGACAGGGAGGGTTAAGGCAGCAGGAGACTAGGAGGGTAAGGTAGCAGGAGACAGGGAGGATTAAGGCAGCAGGAGACAGGGAGGGTTAAGGCAGCAGGAGACTGGGAGGGTTAAGGCAGCAGGAGACTAGGAGGGTTAAGGCAGCAGGAGACTAGGAGGCTCAGATAACAGAACCAGAAGTAAGTTGCCCCCAACCTTGTATGTCTTAGTATTAGATAAGTGTGTCCGTCTCTGTGCCCCCTGCCCTCCCCCCACTACTTGATCCCCAGGTAGACCAGTTCAGCCATCCCATCCCTGATTCCTTTGCTGTACTCTAGAGTGGCCCTGTGGAGCTTCCACTCGTAGAGGCCACTCTTGCGGACGTGTCGGAGGAAGTTAGGAGCCCCAGGAAACAGGATGTTGTCAGCAAGCTCTACAGAGCCTTTCCCCAGCAGACCAGAGCCTGCAGGACACAATGCATGGGGAAAGGGAGGGTTAATAGGAAAGTTATAGATAGGAATAAGGAGGTGGTAGCTCATTCCTTTATCCAAATCCCCATTCGCAGTTACTGAAGCAACAGCTCGTCCTGGTGTCCACACAAAACAATTATATACCTACAGTGCCTTTGGAAAGGATCCAGACCCCTTGACTTTTTCCACATTTTGTTAAGTTACACCCTTATTATAAAATTGATTAAATAAAACATTTCCCTCAGCAATCTACACACAATACCCCATAATGACGAAGTGAAAACAGGTGTTTAGAAATGTTTGTTAATGTATTACAAAAAAAATTTCAGAAATACCTTATTTACTTAAGTATTCAGACCCTTTGCTATGAGACTCGAAATTGACCTCAGGTGCATCCTGTTTCCATTGATCATCCTTGAGATGTTTCTACAACTTGATTGGAGTCCACCTGTGGTAAATTATATTGATTGGACATGATTTGGAAAGGCACACACCTGTCTATATAAGGTCCCACAGTTGACAGTGCATGTTAGTGCAAAAACCAAGCCATGAGGTTGAAGGAATTGTCCGTAGAGCTCCGAGACAGGATTGTGTCAAGGCACAGATCTGGGGAACGGTACCAAAAAATGTCTGCAGCATTGAAGATCCCAAAGAACACAGTGGCCTCCATCATTCTTAAATGGAAGAAGTTTGGAACCACCAAGACTCATCCTAGAGCTGGCCGCCCGGACAAACTGAGCAATCGGGGGAGAAGGGCCTTGGTCAGGGAGGTGACCAAGAACCCGATGGTCACTCTGACAGAGCTCTAGAGTTCCTCTGTGGAGATGGGAGAACCTTGCAGAAGGACAACCATCTCTGCAGCACTCCACCAATCAGGCCTTTATGGTAGTGGCCAGATGGAAGCCACTCCACAGTAAAATGGACATAGCAGCCCGCTTGGAGTTTACCAAAAGTCACCGAAAGACTCTCAGACCATGAGAAACAAGATTCTCTGGTCTGATGAAATCAAGATTGCCTGAATGCCAAGTGTTACGTCTGGAGGAAACCTGGCACCATCCCTACGGTGAAGCATGGTGGTGGCAGCATAATGCTGTGGGGATGTTTTTCAGCCGCAGGGACTGGGAGACTAGTCAGGATCGAGGCAAAGATGAACGGAGCAAAGTACAGAGAGATTCTTGATGAAAACCTGCTCCAGAGCGCTCAGGACCTCAGACTGGGGCGAAGGTTGACTTTCCAACAGGACAACGACCCTAAGCACACAGCCAAGACAACGCATGAGTGGCTTCGGGACAAGTCTCTGAATGTCCTTGAGTGGCCCAGCCAGATCCTGGACTTGAAGCCGATCTAACATCTCTGGAGAGACCTGAAAATAGCTGTGCAGCAACACTCTCCATCCAACCTGACAGAGCTTCAGAGGATCTGCAGAGAAGAATGGGAGAAACTCCCCAAATACAGGTGTGCCAAGCTTGTAGCTTCATACCCAAGAAGACTCGAGGCTGTTATCGCTGCCAAAGGTGCTTCAACAAAGTACTGAGTAAAGGGTCTGAATACTTATGTAAATGTGATATTTCCGTTTTTAATTTGTAATACATTTGCAAATATTTATAAAAACCTGTTTTTGCTTTGTCGTTATGGGGTATTGTGTGTAGATTGATAAGGGGAAAAAATATTTTAATCAATTTTAGAATACGGTTGTAATGTAACAAAATGTGGAAAAAGTAAAGGGGTCTGAATACTTTCCGAATGCACTGTAGCGCTGCAGCAGGATAGGTGCTCATCTACTCTGCCTGACGTGTATTTTGGCTGGTGAACTTTCCGTGCTGTTCAGGGAACAACAACATAAAAACAGACTAAGGTCATAGGGGTTATGAGTGAGTTAGCTACCTGCAGGTCAGGACGGTAGCAATTTTTCCAGTGGTCCATGAACACAAATTCCAACCGCTCCAGACCGTAGTCTGCCCACAACTTTGGGATTACCTCATCTGATGGACTCACTATCAGCTCCACCTGGGAGGTCAATTTGACCAGATTTTCCCTCACTGGGTCTGTTTGTCTGTGTGTTTTACTCTCTCACCGTGTGTGTGTGCGCTCTGCTCTCACCGTGTCATCGTCGAAGCCCGCAGGCGTATAGACCATCTCTGCTATAAAAGCGTTTCTTGCATCCATTTCCACACTGTACAGCTTGGCGCCCAGGGGCAGTGCCCGGGCAATATGCACTGTGCTGTATCCACAGTGGGAACCCAGCACTGTCAGAGGTCCATTATCTTACCTACACACAGACAGACACATAGGTGTGGTCAGACAGGTAAATGTGGTGGCTGGAGAAGAGGGGGGGAGGAATGGGGGGGGGGGGGGGGGGGGGTTGTGGTCAGTCAGATGGGGTCACTTTTCTTGGGGCTGATGTTGCTGATGAACTCCACCTTGCTGCACCAGAGGTCAAAGGTTTCCAGGATTCTTTCTGGGTCGCCGGGGTTGGCGTGGATCAGAAAATACTGGAAGGCCATCTCCTCCCGGCTCAGTCTCACCAGCACCGCCCGGTAGAACAACATAAAGTAGTAGCGAATAATAAAAGTCAACACCAGGGGGAGGAAGGCCAGCGCAATGGCACCAGACACCATAATACTGCTGCAAGGGAAAACACACACAGACGTACAGTTCAAGTCAGAAGTTTACATACACTTAGGTTGGAGTCATTAAAACTTGTTATTCAACCACTCCACACATTTCTTGTTAACAAACTATAGTTTTGGCAAGTCGGTTAGGACATCTATTTGTGCATGACAAAAGTAACTTTTCAAACAATTGTTTACAGACAGATTATTTCACTTATAATTCACTGTATCACAATTCCAGTTGGTCAGAATTTTACATACACTAAATTGACTGTGCCTTTAAACAGCTTGGAAAATTCTAGAAAATGATGTCATGGCTTTAGAAGCTTCTGATAGGCTAATTGACATCATTTGAGTCAATTGGAGGTGTACCTGTGGATATATTTCAAGGCCTACCTTCAAACTCAGTGCCTCTTTGCTTGATATCATGGGAAAATCAAAAGAAATCAGCCAAAAAATAGTAGACCTTCACAAGTCTGGTTCATCCTTGGGAGCAATTTCCAAACGCCTGAAGGTACCATGTTCATCTGTACAAACAATAGTACACAAGTATAAACACCATGGGACCACGCAGCCATCATACCGCTCAGGAAGGAGACGCGTTCTGTCTCCTAGAGATGAACGTACTTTGGTGCTCAAGGAAGAAGACACTGCTCCAAAACCGCCATAAAAAAGCCAGACTACGGTTTGCAACTGCATATGGGGACAAAGATCGTACTTTTTGGAGAAATGTCCTCTGGTCTGATGAAACAAAAATAGAACTGTTTGACCATAATGACCATCGTTATGTTTGGAGGAAAAAGGGGGTCCCTTGGAAGCCGAACAACACCATCCCAACCGTGAAGCACAGGGGTGGCAGCATCATGCTGTGGGGGTGCTTTGCTGCAGGAGGGACTGGTGCACTTCACAAAATAGATGGCATCATGAGGAAGGACAATTATGTGGATATATTGAAGCAACATCTCAAGACATCAGTCAGGAAGTTAATGCTTGGTCGCAAATGGGTCTTCCAAATGGACAATGACCCCAAGCATACTTCCAAAGTTGTGGCAAAATGGCTTAAGGACAACAAAGTCAAGGTATTGGAGTGGCCATCACAAAGCCCTGACCTACAGAAATGTTGTGGGCAGAACTGAAAAAGCGTGTGTGCGAGCAAGGAGGCCTACAAACCTGACTCAGTTACACCAGCTCTGTCAGGAGGAATGGGCCAAAATTCACCCAACTTATTGTGGAAGGCTACCCGAAACGTTTGACCCAAGTTAAACAATTTAAAGGCAATGCTAACAAATACTAATTGAGTGTATGCAAACTTCTGACCCACTGGGAATGTGATGAAAGAAATAAAAGCTGAAAGAAATAATTCTCTCTACTATTATTCTGACATTTCACATTCTTAAAATAAAGTGGTGATCCTAACTGACCTAAGACAGGGAATTTTTACTAGGATTAAATGTCAGGAATTGTGGAAAAACTGAGTTTAAATGTATTTGGCTAAGGTGTATGTAAACTTCCGACTTCACCTGTACATACAGTAGGTACACATATCTAAACACACACCAGGAGATGGGAGACTACCAGCACACATACTATTCATTAAAAACAATAATAAAATAAACTCTTCCTCAATTCATGTGAAATCCTCCTATTTCAGCTCCTTAAACATACACCCGCTACAGTCCATTCTGTACTTATAGACCAGCAAGCTGCTCCTCCGGCCAACTCCATACTGTTGTTACTAGAGTTTTACACTGAGTGACAGGAGATTCCCTCATCTCACTCCCAAACAACACTACATTATACTACTACAACTCAACCTACCATAACAGAAACCTCTTGTAAAAAATAATATTCTCTCCCACATACAGTGGGGAAAAAAAGTATTTAGTCAGCCACCAATTGTGCAAGTTCTCCCACTTAAAAAGATGAGAGAGGCCTGTAATTTTCATCATAGGTACACGTCAACTATGACAGACAAAATGAGGAAAAAAAAATCCAGAAAATCACATTGTAGGATTTTTAATGAATTTATTGGCATATGATGGTGGAAAATAAGTATTTGGTCAATAACAAAAGTTTCTCAATACTTTGTTATATACCCTTTGTTGGCAATGACACAGGTCAAACGTTTTCTGTAAGTCTTCACAAGGTTTTCACACACTGTTGCTGGTATTTTGGCCCATTCCTCCATGCAGATCTCCTCTAGAGCAGTGATGTTTTGGGGCTGTCGCTGGGCAACACAGACTTTCAACTCCCTCCAAAGATTTTCTATGGGGTTGAGATCTGGAGACTGGCTAGGCCACTCCAGGACCTTGAAATGCTTCTTACGAAGCCACTCCTTCGTTGCCCGGGCGGTGTGTTTGGGATCATTGTCATGCTGAAAGACCCAGCCACGTTTCATCTTCAATGCCCTTGCTGATGGAAGGAGGGTTTCACTCAAAATCTCACGATACATGGCCCCATTCATTCTTTCCTTTACACGGATCAGTCGTCCTGGTCCCTTTGCAGAAAAACAGCCCCAAAGCATGATGTTTCCAACCCCATGCTTCACAGTAGGTATGGTGTTCTTTGGATGCAACTCACCATTCTTTGTCCTCCAAACATGACAAGTTGAGTTTTTACCAAAAAGTTATATTTTGGTTTCATCTGACCATATGACATTCTCCCAATCCTCTTCTGGATCATCCAAATGCACTTCAGACGGGCCTGGACATGTACTGGCTTAAGCAGGGGGACACGTCTCGCACTGCAGGATTTGAGTCCCTGGCGGCGTAGTGTGTTACTGATGGTTGGCTTTGTTACTTTGGTCCCAGCTCTCTGCAGGTCATTCACTAGGTCCCCCCGTGTGGTTCTGGGATTTTTGCTCACCGTTCTTGTGATCATTTTGACCCCACGGGGTGAGATCTTGCGTGGAGCCCCAGATCGAGGGAGATTATCAGTGGTCTTGTATGTCTTCCATTTCCTAATAATTGCTCCCACAGTTGATTTCTTCAAACCAAGCTGCTTACCTATTGCAGATTCAGTCTTCCCAGCCTGGTGCAGGTCTACAATTTTGTTTTTGGTGTCCTTTGACAGCTCTTTGGTCTTGGCCATTGTGAAGTTTGGAGTGTGACTGTTTGAGGTTGTGGACAGGTGTCTTTTATACTGATAACAAGTTCAAACAGGTGCCATTAATACGGGTAACGAGTGGAGGACAGAGGAGCCTCTTAAAGAAGAAGTTACAGGTCTGTGAGAGCCAGAAATCTTGCTTGTTTGTAGGTGACCAAATACTTATTTTCCACCATAATTTGCAAATAAATTCATTAAAAATCCTACAATGGGATTTTCTGGATTTTTTTTTCTCAATTTGTCTGTCATAGTTGACGTGTACCTATGATGAAAATTACAGGCCTCTCTCATCTTTTTAAGTGGGAGAACTTGCACAATTGGTGGCTGACTAAATACTTTTTTCCCCCACTGTAAACGCCATACAGCAAAAAACAAGACTCAACCTGCCCAGAGATGCGTTTGGCAAATAGGAGAAATTCAGAAAGGTTATTGTGTGTGGCTGGAGTCAGAGCTCCACAGGTGAGGGCAGAGTGGGTAGTAAGGAAGCTGGGCATGTTTGTTTTATTCACAGAAAACAGGTGTGGCCATAGTACCCCTCCCCCGCACCGCTCCATTGTTTCTCACAATTACGTTATTATTATGTCATAGTAAATATACAGCAATACATCAATGGTAGGCTACAGGGAAAGTTCTTAATATGGTGGATCTACTGACAAAAGACACCCAAGAGATAAAAGGGGGCAGAGAGAAGGGGGTGATCAGAGAGGAGAGAGAGGGGGCCGAGAGAAGGGGGTGATCAAGAGAGAGAGGGCAGAGAAGGGGTGATCAGAGAGAGAGAGAGGGGGCGGTATAGAGAGAGGGGGCAGAGAGAAGGGGGGTGATCAGAGAGAGAGAGGGCAGAGAGAAGGGGGTGATCAGAGAGAGAGAGAGGGGGCGGTGGAGAAGGGGGGGTGATCAGAGAGAGAGAGAGGGGGCGGTGGAGAAGGGGGTGATCAGAGAGAGAGAGGGCAGAGAGAAGGGGGTGATCAGAGAGAGAGAGAGGGGGCGGAGAGAAGGGGGTGATCAGAGAGAGAGAGAGAGGGCGGTGGAGAACAGGGTGATCGGGGGGGGGGAGTGGAGAGAGTGAGACAGACAGACAGAGAGACAGACATCGGTGGATCAGGTGTACAGTCATAGGTGTTGAGTGTGTCTAGAATCAGTTCTCTCTTCCCACCAACAGAAGGATCCAGAAAACACACACACACAGAAAAGAACAGTGACAGCAGTATTTACAGCTCAATATAATGTTTATTAGACACTGTTACACAGCAGTCTCTGATCAGTCTCTACTATCAGACAATAATACTCTGCTTTGAATGGAACTAATGCTGCTCTGTGCCTCACTGGTAACTGTGTCCTCTGACTCGGCTCACACAAATCATAATCATGTCCTCACATTTGATAAAAAACAACCTCAACTTCATAATTCATATGTGACAGGTGTCCAGAACATGGACCCAAACAAACAGACACTGGTCCTCTGATGGTCTCCCTTCTGCCTAGCCCCTTCCCCACAGGTCTTCATAGATCTGAACAGACTGGATAGATATGATGAAGGCACCACTTCTCCAGAGCTAGATGATATGAATATGAAATAAATATTAAAGGGATATGGAAGGGATAGGATCTAGGCCTAGGGGCTGAAATGTAACAGGGCTGTGGTGTCCTCTCATCCGCATCCAATTGGCCAAATTGGAAAGTCTCTCTGATTGTTTGATGACATCATCAGCAGGGTTGTTTGAGCAGTCTCCTGATGAACTTCTTGAGTTCTTTGCCCCCCCTCCTCCAGATCACCAGCCTAGAGAGGACCAGCCTGCCCTCCTGTGTGTCAGCATGGCCCAGGTACCACAACCCTGCCAGGGACCCCGACCCCGACCCCTTCCCCTCTCCCTTCGCCTCCTCCAGGGCAGGACAGGTGCAGGTACCCCCCTCCTGCAGCCAAAAGGCACTGTAGGCCATTGCCCCCCCTCGGCCCTCTCCGCGCCTCCGCCCTTGCACCTCAGGATGCGACTCCGGCCCAGAGGGACTAACCTGCAGTCACCCCCCTCCACAGACACACTCCCGATACGCAGTTTAAAGGCTGAGAGAGGAAACACAGAAATACATGTCTGTAAACACATGTAAACACGTTATAGACCTCTATAAGTCTTTGTGTAAAGTGTAACCAATGCCATACACATATCACTCACCATATGGACTCTTGCAGAAGTTGTTCTGGATGTCTGCCTCTCCCTCCGCAGCCAGACTGCATGCGTCACCAAGAGACATGCCACGGAGAACAGGGTTAGTGTGGATGTGTGTGTGTGTGAAAGAGAGTGGGAAATGTTTGCAGAGGATCAGCTCTCTATTATGATGATGATGATGATAGGCACACACCCTCTGATGCCTCCTCGTGACCCTCTTCCTCTCCCTTCTGCGCATGCTGTGAGTCTCGGGTGGTAGTGTGAATACAGAGATGGGTCCCACGCGGGAACCGCGTGCAGTTGAACATGTCGGGCCACGGGAACCCGAACGCGCTCATCACAGGGAGACAACCGTCCCTCACAGCCTCGCACAACCCACGGCAGGGGCGCACGGGCCCCTCCGGTTGGCACACTGGGGCGAAGAGCGAGCACAATAACTTATTGGTATCCAGGTGGCAGAGTTTGGAGACCAACGGCAGCCAGGCGGCCGACTGTTGCTGGGCTTCTTTCAATGAGTCATGCCCCAGCAGGTTGGGCAGCCGCATATCCCTGTAACCGACGCCGTGGCACAGAGAAAGTGTGCTGGGGATGGGCTTTCACACCGAGCACAACGTGGATGAACTGAGACTTTCGGACGCAAACTGAACGGAGCTGTCTGTGGTCAAAACCGAGGTAAACGAAATAGACACCAACACGCAAAGTGACAACTTCAGCTGAGCCATACTGACAATATGTGCAGAATAAAAACAAAGCAGCGCGGTGGTTGTTCAGCAGTCCTGGAGGAGAAGTACGTAGCCGGGTGCAACCAACCTAGTAGTAGTCAGACTTGTAATGAGAGGGCGCCTGGCGTCATGCAGAACAAACTGCTTCTTACATCAAATGCAATGGTGTGACTCCCGGTTATTGAGGGCTGTTAGGGCAGAACCTGCCTCCAACGAGTCTGTTCTAGCAATGTATTTTTGCCATCTCTTCGTTATGCATTTTCCTTACGTTTCGTCTGTTTTCTGCAGGTTTTATTCCCCAATCAAAACAATAACAAGCTCACCATTTTAAGGACTCTTTAAAAAATAAAATACCCCTTTCACGTGATTAGGGTATCTGTCCACATGGCAGCTTCACATTGGCCGGATGTCATACGCTTGTTTCTCAGCCCTGGCTGCTCAAAAACTGATGTCATGTGATAGGCTTTGTTTGTAGTATTAGCTGACATAAGCGGTCAGCGAGAAACAAGGAAATAAGTTTGATTCCTTTCCTTTGGACTGAGACAGGGTCTGTTTCTCTTATTATAGCTATAGTTTCCGGGGTGGAGTAGTTGGAGATTGGGTTCGCGTGCCTGGCAGACCGCCGAACGCCCAGCGGACGCAATGGGTTGTTGTTACAGCAGCGAGAACGAGACCACCGAGCAGGTAGCTAACTAGCTAATACGAGGCGGTTATCTAGGGTGTAAAATATTATTTGACAAAAAGTATTTCCTTTCTTTGGGGTCATCAGGACATTGCGAGACAGTATCGAATTCCACGAGCCAAAAGTGACGAGATGGTGCTTCATTGCGCGTTAAAAGGAAACTATTTTTAAGTTAGCCAACTACGACCCAGCAGATAGCTAGCTTAGCTAGCCAGACCTTTCAAATCAAATTGTATTGGTATCATACACATTTAGCAGATATTGTGGGTGTAGCGAAATGCTTGTGTTCCTAACAGTGCAGTAATATCTAACAATTCACAACAATGCACACACATCTAAACGTACAAGAGTGGAATTGAGAAATATATAATATTTCAGAGAGAACTGTTAGCTGTGTTAGAAATATTGGGCCTAGGGAGTTTAGCTAACGTTAGTTCCCTGATTGGCAAGTTGACAAACACACCTAACAACATTAGCTAATTAAGAGAAGTTTCAAAATAGTGACAACCTTTGTTGACAATTGTAAACAGTATCTAGCTTACTAGCTAGGTAACTTAATCAGTTCATATGTGTACCTCAGTAGCTATCTACTTGCACAGCAGGACAGACAATAGTTTGTGGTCCTCTGTAGCTCAGCTGGTAGAGCACGGCGCTTGTAACGCCAAGGTAGTGGGTTCGATCCCCGGGACCACCCATACACAAAAAAATGTATGCACGCATGACTGTAAGTCGCTTTGGATAAAAGCGTCTGCTAAATGGCATATTATTATTATAGTTTAGTTTAAATTGTCACCTGTCATGATGATCAATCAGGTCCGGTAAAACGTGACCACTTATGTAAATTGGGCCTCAAAGGTTCACATTCGTTCAAGCCGTTGGAACGTGTTGAACTGGCCAGCCAATCAACTTCTCCCAGAAGCATGTCATATGAACTCAGATTTCCCATCAAAAATGGAATTTGGTGAAGGGAAGTTTTATTTTCCCTTTGGAAAATGTGAGGCGGGGATGGTTTCTGATTTATTACTGTTTATCAGATGACTGTTGTACACATATAGCCTACCATTGCTTAGCTAACCTTGTTATAACACAGGATAATACTGTTGAAATATACATTTTACATTTTAGTCATTTAGCAGACGCTCTTATCCAGAGCGACTTACAGTTAGTGAGTGTATACATTTTTCATACTGGCCCCCCGTGGGAATCGAACCCACAACCCTGGCGTTGCAAGCACCATGCTCTACCAACTGAGCTACACAGGGCCCTATACACACCAGTATCATATCAGGGTTAGTTAACTTTGTTTGGGTTCATTATTTTCTGCCTGTCACAGCAACAGATCAGGGGATGAGTAGTATAGGGGTTGTAGGGCGCCCTTTGTTTTAGACTTCATTTCAGAGGTCATATGATACTCATTTTAGCAATAAGCAAGGTCAGAATTTGGTTACCTTAACAGCCTGTGATGGAGGATGTTGTGATAGTTTGTGATCGCAATGCGCATGTTGTACCTCAGGACCCTGATGAGCGTAAGCCGCTGATCCCCCACCCGAACCCCGACAGCAAGCCCCTCAACGGCACAGAATGGAGCTCCGCCAGTGTACCCTCAGCCCGCACAGACGAACAGGCCTTACTCACATCCATCCTTACCAAGACAGCCCTGTAAGACACAAACATTCTCTTTCTCCTCCGCCATCATGGGCATTATCCATTTGGGATTGAATTCGGCTGACTACCTGCCCGTCTTTCCGTTTCTTAGGAACATCATCGATGTCTCAGCTGCAGACTCTCAAGGCATGGAGCAGCATGAGTACATGGACAAAGCTCGGCAATACAGGTGGGTGTGTGGAGGTAGTTGCTTAATGTGTCTGTGGGTTTTGGAGACTGTTTTGACTGGCTTTGTTAATGTGTTTCAGTACTAACCTGTCTTTATTGTGTGTTTTTCAGTACAAAACTGGCCTTGTTGAGTAACAGTCTGTCTCAGAAGAAGCCCCTCCCTCTCCCTTCCCTCACCAGCCAGCCGCACCAAGTACTCGCTAGTGATCTGGTGCCATACTCGGATGTACAACAGGTGCATGCACGCACGCACCACACACTAGGGGTGTAACGTTTCCCAAACCCACGGTTCGGTACGTATTGCGGTTTTGGGGTCGCGGTTCTGTTTCGGTACAGCGGGAAAATGAAATGCCAACAGTTACGTTAGTTAAATTAGTTTATTTAAGAAAATACAAAGTGTTGTTGGTATTCTTGATTCCATATATGATCATGAGTCATATAATGCCTGATAAGAGCGCCATCAGGAATAACAACACTTTGTATTGTTTAAATGAAAACACATGATTACTCATTAACAACAACAAAAATGCTAAAATAAAGTGCAATATGCGTGTGAAATCAATATGCAGACATTGCGTAGGCCTATGCAATAATGTTTACTTACAAAGAGAAAAATATGCACACTTGTGTGACTCTTATAAACGGGCACAGTACTTTTCATTTCACACTCGGCTGTAATGTTAAGTAGCTCTCTGTAGCTCTGGAGGTCCATCCGTCTGTAGTAAGCGCAACACAGGCAATGCGTCAATACAGGACTTAGATCGAATCCTCCTACGCCGGCTCTGACGCTCGTCAGATGTGGCAGGGCTTGCAAACTATCACGGACTACAAAAGGAAACCCAGCCACGAGTTGCTCAGTGACGCGAGCCTACGAGACGAGCATAGATCTATGCTCGCTTCGAGGCAAGCAACACTGAACCATGCATGAGAGCACCAGCTGTTCCGGACAACTGTGTGAGCTCACTCTCCATAGCTGAGACCTTTAAACAGGTTAACGTTCACAAGGCCGCGGGGACCAGACGGATTTACCAGGACGCGTACTCCGAGCATGTGTTGACCAGCTGGCAAGTGTCATCACTGACATTTTCAACCTCTCCCTGACCCAGTCTGTAATACCTACGTTTCAAGCAAACCACCATAGTCCCTGTGCCAAAGAATGCCAAGGTAACCCGTCTAAATGACTATCGCCCCGTAGCACTCACATCTGTAGTCATGAAATGCTTTGAAAGGCTGGTCATTGCTCACATCAACACCATCATCCCAGACACCCTGGATTCGCATACCGCCCCAACAGATCCATAGATGACGCTATCTCTATTGCACTCCACGCTGCCCTCTCCCACCTGGATAAGAGGAACACCTATGTGAGAATGCTGTTCATTGACCACAGCTCAGCATTCCAACACCATAGTGCCCTGCAAGCTCATCACTAAACACCTCCCTCTGCAACTGGATTCTGGACTTCCTGACGGGCCGCCCCCAGGTGAGGTGGTGAGGGTAGGCAACAACATCCGTCACGCTAACCCTCAACACGGGGGCGCCTCAGGTCCCTGTTCACCCATGACTGCGTGGCTGCCAACACCATCATTACGTTTGCTGATGACACGACGGTGATAGGCCTGACCACCGACGACGATGAGACAGCCTATAGGGAGGAGGTCAGTTCAGTGACATGGCAGTGTGATGCCAGGACAACAACCTCTCCTTCAACATCAGCAAGACAAAGAAGCGGATCATGGACTATAGGAAACTGAGGGCCGAGCATGCCCCCATTCACATCAACGGGGCTATAGTGGAGCAGGTCGAGAGCTTTAAGTGCCTCGGGGTCCATATCACTAAGGAATTAGCACTGACTCTATGCACACTCACTGGGCTCTACTCACACATACTGACACTCCAATACACACTACATACGCACAAAACACACACAAGCATATTGACGCCACACGCACATACTTTCACACTCTTCATATACACTGCTGCTACTCTGTTTATTATCTATCCTGATTGGCCTAGCAGTGGAGGCTGCTGAGGGGAGGACGGCTCATAATAATGGCTGGAGCGAATGGAATGGCATCAAACACATGGAAACCATGTGTTTGATGTATTTGATACCATTCCATTGATTCCGCTGCTGTCATTACCATGAGCCTGTTCTCCCCAATTAAGGTGCCACCAACCTCCTGTGTTGCCTGGTTACTTTTACCCCTACCTGTACATGTTACTCCAACTACCTCGTACCCCTGCACATCGACTCGGTACCAGTTCTCCTTGTATATCGTCTCATTACTACCTCGTACCCCTGCACATTGACTTGGTACCGGTTCTCCTTGTATATAGTCTCATTACTACCTTGTACCCTCGTATTTATTTTGTTAATATTCTTTTCAATTACTTTTTAACTCTGCATAGTTGGGAAAGCGCTCGTAAGTTAGCATTTCACGGTGAAGTCTACACATGTTGTATTCGGCGCATGTGACAAATACAATTTGATTGGCTTTACACTTTCACAGGGTGCTGAAACAACCTATTCTTCTCAACCACCGATAATTGGCGCATATCCGCGACTATAAACATACCTATCGCTCTTGAAATTTCTTCGGCATAGTCAGAATCAGCTGCTTGAATGCAGAGGGGAGACAAAGTTGTGGTGTTTTTTTGCGTCTCCGTCTTGCTCCGGTGGTAGGAATACTGGGGTGATGTAAGTGTATATGTGTCCACATGTTTGAGATAACATACTCCCTCTGTCCATTGCCGTTGTAATCTACTGGGAAACCAAAATGTTCCCAAACTGGAGATTTAAACGATGATGGAGAATCCTCCTGGTTTATCCACCCTACTACTCGCCATCGTACAGAACTAGTTCCTGGCTGCGCCTCACAAAAGGAATGTGCCAATTAAGATTAGAATGTTGATTACAACGTCTGCATAGGCTCTAGTTGTTTTAACGGAATAGCCTGAAATGTTTTTTTTTTTTTCCAGCTCAGATTTACTCAAGCAATACAAATCAGTGTAGGCATAGCCTATAGGCCTAGGTTATCAAAAAATTGTTTAGTATGTATTCACAGTGCGGACCGAACCGAGGTCCCCGTACCGTTCGGTACGAATACGTGTACCGTTACACCCCTAACACACACACAGTGCCATTCTCAGACATTCATCAGGTCATCTTTCTATAAGTCATGTGCTTTCCCTATCCATAAATCTGTTAGTGTATGGCAGCTCTGGAGCAAAAAATAAAAACGCATTATGTAGCCTATTTGATGCATGTTAACCTAATTTGTTCTAATTGTTTGACAGGTGTCCAAGATAGCTGCCTATGCTTACAGTGCAATCTCTCAGATCAAGGTGGATGCTAAAGAAGAGCTAGTGGTTCAATTTGCCATCCCCTGATCTGGCCTCCATAATACTCATCCCGTCCCGTCCCGTCCCCCATACCCACAATGCATCTATGATTACCAGTCCCTGTGCTACCCAGCTATGCCACTAGCAACCTGCTGCTCCAGCTGAGGACTATGACAACCAGGCCTCCCCTGCTGAAAAGGTTAACCAACCTTGCCCTGCACTCCTCAGAACCACCTTTCAAAGCCACCATTCATCCTTCCTTCACCAGCCGTCAAGGAATTTTTTACTATCATATGGTAGTATAACGATAATGGTGTTAGGGCAGCTTTTGTAATTTAAAAGTTTCTTGTTTGAAGAGTGACTGAGTCTGATTTAATGAATAAACGGTTAGCTAGCTGCGCGGCATGGCTAGGCTGCTGGTGGCGTTAGCTCTGGCTGTGAGTTTCAGGAGTAGCTAGCCTCGTCTGATATGCAGCTACGGTAATATACTAACTAACTAACTAACTAACCACAGCTAGGAAAATAGGGTAATTAAGCATGTCCAAATGTAGCACAGTAACAGGACAAAAAAAGATGTCCACAGCCAGCCAACCCACTAGTCAGCATGGGGATGCTGTTGTTCTGACACTGTGTGGACCCGTCACCCAGAACACACATCCCACCCCTCAAGTCTCATGTCAGTATGAAAAATGTATGCACTCACTAACTGTAAGTCGCTCTGGATAAGAGCGTCTGCTAAATGACTAAAATGTAAATGTAAATGTCATCAATACGAATTTCTACAAAGAGCCCTCACTATAGTTTTCTTTATCTTTGTTAGAATCCTTAGATTGACCTAATGTAAGAGAGAACTGGGTTGGGTAGGTTTAAAAACAGCCGGGACTTAGTTCAACTATAGTACCTAAGTTCAAATCCAATATGACCCGTATGAGGCTTCTCTTGAGTTCAGCTCATGCTGGCAGGGGTGAATGGTGGGTGGGGACAGAGATGGGAATCCACATGGGTTTCTCTGCCTCTGATTTCTGGTGGAAACATGCTTAGCACTTCAATAATTTAGCTGTCAGTCCTTGGATTCATATCTTTAGGGAAAAAAATACAGATGCGGGGTGGGCACTGTGGGGGGCTGGGGCTTAGAGGGAGGGGGTGGGTCTAGGTGGGTGGGTAGGGTTTGGGGGCTTGTAATATAAATGAATCAGTGAAGTGTAGATGCCTTCTATGTACAGATTTCTGTGATTCTGTCAGAAGCAAGAAATGGATTGTATGCACCTCCCCTTTTGTAGCGAGTGTTGGTCAGGATTGGCTAAAGTTTTAGGAGCCAATCAAAACTAAGGATACAGCAGCCCAGTGTTTATGACACAAAAAACCCTTAATACCCAAGTTTGTTAGATTTTTAAACAAAACAACAGATTGTGACGAGTTACTCACATTAACCAGAAACTAAAAGCTGTCATGGCAGTTTGGGATAAACATCCATAACCTGTGAGTATCCTCTAAATTAAAACGATCAGAGGCGTTATTGTGATTATTTATTTATGTTTTAAGTGTATTTATGCTCCGGGGTGAGTGTGTGTGTGGGTGCCTCTCTGGGGTCTTTAAAGGGATGATCTGCAAGGCTGTTTATTTTCCACTTTTGCAGTGCGTTTGTTTTGTTTGTTTTGTTACTTCAGTGTGTAATACTACCTGGATTACATTGTTAATTTCTTAGGCTAGTACCAAAAGGTTTATTAAGGTATTCTGTTAATACATTTTTTCCCCAATTAATTAATGCATTAAAGACTTTCAACAATACGACTGGTGTTCTGTAGGACTGTATAGAGATAATTGTGTGGGGTAACGTTCCAATAAACCTATTGAACACTATCACATCTTATGTAGTGTGCATACTGTAACTAATGGAAATGATTTAAAAACACTTTCTATGAAGATGTTGTTTATCATGATCGGGATTCTCCAGTACATCTCATACCTACTGATCCACTAGTGGTAAAAGGTCAATTCTCAGATCCATATTTCAACACAAAAAAGTAACACCTACAAAAGCGTGCATTGGGGAGAGTGAGTGAGAGGGTTCTATTCCTGGTCACTGGTCCAGTTAAATAATGATACAGGTCAGGGTCACATCTATTGTAGATGTACTATTCCTTCTTCCCCAACTCTCAGACAGACACCAGACAGAGTTTCTGATGAGTAGATTCGTATTGTACTTTTACATAACGCGTCAGTCATAATGGTCTTCTGATGTATGCCTGTGGTTCTGGAACTCTTTGGTTGGTTGGCATGACGATTGTGTCCCCCCTCCTACTGTTTCTGTGGTGACAGGTAAGTTGTTCTGGTTCTTCCTGGTGTTTTCGCTGTGGTTGCTGGGGCGATGCCAGACCTGGGCCATGATTCGCTCCTGGTGCGTTACAGCGCAGAAGTCCAACATCTTCAAGTGAGGCAGAGCCGCAATCACATACCCCCTACACACGTAAAAACAAACACACAGGGGGGTTCTTATTACTGGGTTTGTCAGGGTACACAAACTTCTGCTTTCTCTTGACCATAAGGCTCCAGGACTGAACACATCTATACATACAGTGACTCTATACACACTGTAAACCAGTAGTAATTTAGCACTGAACAGAGAGGGAGAATGCCCCAAAACTCAGTAGGAGTTGCAGTGTTGCTATGCAGACAGGCAGAGAGTCGGTGTGTAACTAGACCCTTTTCTCTCTGCTCATTTTAAGCACCTGTCAGAACGCTACGCAGCTGCAACTAACTCAGCACCTGTTACAGATAGGGCTCTGAGCCACGTAGCCCTCAGTGAACAGACAGCACAGGGAGATCACGGTCTAAGAGTATTAGTGGAATAAACCACCCCTGTAACCCATCTCACCCTACCCCCCCATGTGGGGCTAAGGGGAGGCGCATTGGTGGCAGCCTAATTTGCGTATGGGTGTGTGTAGATTTGGGTTTGGCAGCTGTCCTCACCTTTCTCGTGTAATGCCTGTGGTGCTAAGTGTGTGTGTACCTGTAGCACCCCTCGTTTTCCATGGTGTTGCCGTGCAGGGTGAGTGTAGCCCCCAGCTTATCCACCTCTGAAAGGTACAGATGCTGTAATCATGGAGATACAAGGACCTGGGAAACGGAGTACACTCACGCACACACACACACACACACACAGGCTTTAGGCCCTAAAGTTTAGGGTGATCACTACTAATGTACTAGAGAAATTCATTTTACCACCCTGCCACCTGTGTCCATTCAGGAAGAGGCTTGTCTCAAATTACACAATATCGCCTATATAGTGAACTACTTTTGACCAGAGCCACTGTGTGAACTCAACACACTGGGTCTATGTGTGAGATGTCGTTGAAGAACAGGTCGACCCAGGTGAGCCATATTATTAAAAACAAGTCTGTGATGATGCTGTTTAGACGCGGCGAGCGGCTGCAGAACTTCTTCTCTGCATTTCGCTTCAGTGGTCGCAAGCCCTGGTTGGGCTCCTCCGTCAGAGCTTTTGAGCGAGAGAGAGGAGGTGTGTGAGAGGGCTCAGATGTGGCACTGAGAATAGGAAAGGACGCCATTACTGTATTGAGACACAGCCAGAAAAGGGATTAGAGACTGTTGAGTAAGAAGTACAATGCTCTAAATTGCATCTCAATAGTTGCTTTCTTTCCTTGCCTCCTTTCCTTCATCTGCACTAATATTAATGTGAAAGAACTGTTGCTGGTTGTGGGGATCTATTTTCTTATAACTATATGTGATGCCTAGCTTAGAATGAATACATTAATGATTAAACATAATAGGTTTGTGCTGTACTGATATAGACTGTTTAACATAACAAGCTGTGATTCATGTGAGGAGCTGTTAGGGAGTAGGGGGAGATAAGAACTTGTGTCTCACATACACAAACACTGCCTCTTTGTTAAACCGCGCTCAAGGACGTGTACTGCAAAAAGTGCCGACTCTCTGGACAAGTTGTGATGACAACAACTTATGCCTGGCAACAGTGTGCAACAGTGAAGCGCCAAGGGTCTGGGACCAGCCTGTGCGCCAACGATAGGCTGAGTAAGTCTAAACCACACTCAGCCTCTACCCTGATAGGCCCAGCAAGGAGCGGGAACTATCACTGTCAGGGTATTTAAAGAAGAGCCTGTAACAATGGATCAGTTCTCTGTCTGCCCTACGTGGTATTTCATTGAGCCCGTATACGAACCTTCATACTTATCATATATTTCATTTGCATATAATACATTTAGCTTGAATTGAATACCTCTTGATCATGTTTTCTCTTATTCCAATACCAGATTTGAACTAACGCTATTTCTAACAATTGGTGACCTCCGACTGTGATCTGGTAGCGGAACTTCGCTGGAATTCATCCAGCCCATTGGACATCGCTGTCGTCGAACGGTGTGTTTCACAAAGTGCCCGGGCTTCTAAAAACAGGTAAGCAGACACCTATTGTTATATAACTAAAGTTCTGCACATTGGCTTTATCCAAATTAATTTAGTGAAGCACCTGTTTGATGTAAGTGAACCCTATTTTACCAACATAACGTGCACATTATACAACTTAAATTTCATAATATACTATGCAAATGTTTGATAATTGTGATGGTTAAACCCATGGGAATTGTAGGATTAGACAGTGCGACGCTATGACTAAGGTTCATAGGAGGTACTTTAAATAGTTAGACAGTGCGACGCTATGACTGAGGTTCATAGGAGGTACTTTAAATAGTTAGACAGTGCGGCGCTATGACTGAGGTTCATAGGAGGTACTTTAAATAGATAGGCAGTGCGACGCTATGACTGAGGTTCATAGGAGGTACTTTAAATAGATAGACAGTGCGACGCTATGGCTAAGGTTCATAGGAGGTACTTAAAATAGATAGGCAGTGCGACGCTATGGCACATATCAGTTCAGACTAGATATGACTAGGTTCATAGGAGGCACTTAAAATTCTTTAAGAAAGGGGTGACGCTATTGACACGTATCAGCAAAGGCTAGGTACGGCTAGGATCAGAGGGACACTTTAGAGTATAGGGTGTTGTCGTATGCATGAGAGTGCGAATGATCCCAGTGTAATAAAAAAGTGTTTGCAGACGAAATAAAAGAGTGAATGCGGGTTACTAAAATTAATAAACCTGTATACCTTGATAGAAAACTAATTAGGAATTTTAAAAAAAAACGTCTGTGGCGGTCCAAACTGTATAATTTGTGAATAACTATTGGGTTTGTGGTTGTTTAAACCGTATAATTTGTGAATGATAATTAGGAATAGATATACTAAGGTAGAGAAATTAAAATAAAACTTATTAAAAGTGAGAAATAGAAACTTGAACCTAAAATTTTAAAACTTTTAGAATAGAAATAAAAAGAAGGAAGCATCGTGTACATTAATATGGCAGGACACACAGAGGCGGAACGAGTGCTGAAAGTACTGAAGTCCACCCTTGAAACAAAAGGAGGGAGGGGCTGGAGACAGCGAGAGTGTGGCTTTTGGAGAGTCAGGAAGGACTAGGGGGTGATTTGTGTCGATTGGGAGTTGGCTGGGAACACCACGGGGCGATTGTTTGAGAGGTGCCTGTGGGTTTCTGATGATATATACGTACAGTGGGGAAAAAAAGTATTTAGTCAGCCACCAATTGTGCAAGTTCTCCCACTTAAAAAAATGAGAGAGGCCTGTAATTTTCATCATAGGTACACGTCAACTATGACAGACAAATTGAGAGAAAAAAATCCAGAAAATCACATTGTAGGATTTTTTATGAATTTATTTGCAAATTATGGTGGAAAATAAGTATTTGGTCACCTACAAACAAGCAAGATTTCTGGCTCTCACAGACCTGTAACTTCTTCTTTAAGAGGCTCCTCTGTCCTCCACTCGTTGCCTGTATTAATGGCACCTGTTTGAACTTGTTATCAGTAAAAAAGACACCTGTCCACAACCTCAAACAGTCACACTCCAAACTCCACTATGGCCAAGACCAAAGAGCTGTCAAAGGACACCAGAAACAAAATTGTAGACCTGCACCAGGCTGGGAAGACTGAATCTGCAATAGGTAAGCAGCTTGGTTTGAAGAAATCAACTGTGGGAGCAATTATTAGGAAATGGAAGACATACAAGACCACTGATAATCTCCCTCGATCTGGGGCTCCACGCAAGATCTCACCCCGTGGGGTCAAAATGATCACAAGAACGGTGAGCAAAAATCCCAGAACCACACAGGGGGACCTAGTGAATGACCTGCAGAGAGCTGGGACCAAAGTAACAAAGCCTACCATCAGTAACACACTACGCCGCCAGGCACTCAAATCCTGCAGTACCAGACGTGTCCCCCTGCTTAAGCCAGTACATGTCCAGGCCCGTCTGAAGTTTGCTAGAGTGCATTTGGATGATCCAGAAGAGGATTGGGAGAATGTCATATGGTCAGATGAAACCAAAATAGAAATTTTTGGTAAAAACTCAACTCGTCGTGTTTGGAGGACAAAGAATGCTGAGTTGCATCCAAAGAACACCATACCTACTGTGAAGCATGGGGGTGGAAACATTATGCTTTGGGGCTGTTTTTCTGCAAAGGGACCAGGACGACTGATCCGTGTAAAGGAAAGAATGAATGGGGCCATGTATCGTGAGATTTTGAGTGAAAACCTCCTTCCATCAGCAAGGGCATTGAAGATGAAACGTGGCTGGGTCTTTCAGCATGACAATGATCCCAAACACACCGCCCGGGCAACGAAGGAGTGGCTTCGTAAGAAGCATTTCAAGGTCCTGGAGTGGCCTAGCCAGTCTCCAGATCTCAACCCCATAGAAAATCTTTGGAGGGAGTTGAAAGTCTGTGTTGCCCAGCGACAGCCCCAAAACATCACTGCTCTAGAGGAGATCTGCATGGAGGAATGGGCCAAAATACCAGCAACAGTGTGTGAAAACCTTGTGAAGACTTACAGAAAATGTGTGACCTGTGTCATTGCCAACAAAGGGTATATAACAAAGTATTGAGAAACTTTTGTTATTGACCAAATACTTATTTTCCACCATAATTTGCAAATAAATTCATTAAAAATCCTACAATGTGATTTTCTGGATTTTTTTTCCTCATTTTGTCTGGCATAGTTGACGTGTACCTATGATGAAAATTACAGGCCTCTCTCATCTTTTTAAGTGGGAGAACTTGCACAATTGGTGGCTGACTAAATACTTTTTTCCCCCACTGTATATCATGCAATAAAATGCAAATTAATTACTTAAAAATCATACAATGTGATTTTCTGGATTTTTGTTTTAGATTCCATCTCTCACAGTTTACATTTACATTTACGTCATTTAGCAGACGCTCTTATCCAGAGCAACTTACAGTTAGTGAGTGCATACACTATTTTTTTGTTGTTATTTTTTATTTTATTTTTCATACTGGCCCCCCGTGGGAAACGAACCCACAACCCTGGCGTTGCAAAAGCCATGCTCTACCAACTGAGCTACATCCCTGCCGGCCATTCCCTCCCCTACCCTGGACGACGCTGGGCCATTGGTGGTCCTCTGTGGCTCAGCTGGTAGAGCACGGTGCTTGTAATGCCAGGGTAGTGGGTTCGATCCCCGGGACCACCCATATACAAAAAATGTATGCACGCATGACTGTAAGTCGCTTTGGATAAAAGCGTCTGCTAAATGGCATATTATATTATTATTATTATAATTGTGCGCCGCCCCATGGTTCTCCTGGTCACGGCCGGCTACGACAGAGCCTGGATAGTTCAACTGGACAGTTGAAGTGTACCTATGATAAAAATTACAGACCTCTACATGCTTTGTAAGTAGGAAAATCTGCAAAATCGGCAGTGTATCAAATACTTGTTCTCCCCACTGTATGTGCAACAGAAGGTTGTCTTCCCCAATGCTTTGTTTATGACTTCAAGTTGCAGTTGGTGAGGAGCAACTTCAGAAATGTATACTGAACAAAAATAGAAATGCAACATGCAACAATTTCAAAGATTTTACTGAGTGACAGTTCATATAAGGAAATCAGTCAATTGAAATAAATGCATTAGGCCCTAATCTATGGGTTTCACATGACTGGGCAGGAGTGCATAGGCCCACCCACTTGGCAACTATGTCTACCCACTGGGGAGTCAGGCCCAGCCAAGCAGAATGAGTTTTTCCCCACAAAAGGGCTTTATTACAGAAATAAATACTCCTCAGCACCGTCATAGACTTTCCGTCAAGTCAGTTCGTCAAATTTCTGCCCTGTTAGAGCTGCCCCCCCCCACCCCTTTACATGATCGCACAGGTGATGAAGTCGGATGTGGAGGTCCTGGGCTGGCGTGGTTACACGTGGTCTGCGGTTGTGAGGCCGGTTGGATATACTGCCAAATTCTCTAAAACAACGTTGGAGGCGGCTTATGGTAGAGAAATTAACATTACATTCTCTGGCAACAGCTCTGGAGGACATTCCTGCAGTCAGCATGCCAATTGCACACTCCCTGTGGCACTGTGTTGTGTGACAAAACTGCACATTTAAACTGGCCTTTTATTCCCCCCAGCACAAGATACACCTGTTTAAAGATCATGTTGTTTAATCAGCTTCTTGATATGCCACACCTGTCAGGTGGATGGATTGTCTTGGCAAAGAGGAAATGCTGACTAACAGGGATGTACACAGATTTGTGCACAACGTTTGAGAGAAATAAGCTTTTTGTGCATATGGATCTTTTATTTCAGCTCATGAAACATGTGACCAACACTTTACATGTTGCGTTTATATTTTTGTTCAGTGTAGTTGCAAGTCCGACAATTTTATAGCCATAATGCAACACACTTTGAAAAGCGGTGACCAACGTTGTTCAACGTCTTGTCAAAATTGATCTGCTCTTTTGCCTTGTTCAAGTATTAGTCGGAAATAGGAAACTCAGAAATGTCCGACTTGCTAATTTGTTGTAGCCATACGTGACGCGTTTAAAGAATCAACAAGTCGTAAATGTTTGAGTTTACAAGTTCCGATTAGCACTTGAACGCGGCACCAAACCCCGGCCTAGTCTGTTTGATCTGCTTCGCAAGCGTTCCAGGAAGTCTCGCGATGTTGCGCGTCTGGGTTTAGAAATCGTATCCTCTTTAAATTGAAAACGAAAGTGATGTCCGACATTTTGAAAGGTGGGAAGTAAGAGAGTTGGTAAGTTAGTAGTGTTGTGAGTGAGTAGGGTATGATAACTTTCTAAATGTACTTGACTGTATAGTTTGGTATAATTTTCAAATGCGCACCCAATAGGTGTTGAAGGCATTGTTTACATTCTGTATAGGAAGTCGACAGGCCAGTGTCACAACTTGCTTGGTATGTAGCTAATGCAACACAGACGTTAGCACCAGGCCGTAGTAGGGCTTCTTTCAACCCCCTGCTACTTCATCAATTTTACCGACGGCACCAGAATAATCTCTCCCCCTACACAGGAGATTTGGGATTTGAGCCTGTCGGTGGAACAGAAATGGACTCGGATTCAGAAGTGGAGAGGTGAGTGGACCGGTACCACTGTCTGTTAAACCTTTGGAAAGAGTGTTTGAACGATTAACGTCAGTTGAATATGCGTAAGTGTGTTACCATGTTGTTGGACCAATACTATATGAGTCATTGGAGCTATATTCCCTTCTCTGTCATCTCAATTTATGTTTTTAATGGAGTTGTTACAGCCAAGGGCTGTTAGCAGACTTTTATCATAACTGATGGTGTTTTGAATAGCACCTTTCCAGGTCCCAAAGATATTTTGGGACACCAAACACAGCCTACACAATTAGTAATACACGTTTAGGAAAATGTTACTAGGTTTTATTTCCTGGGATGTTGTTGTCAGAATCCAACAGGGGAGCCGGAATCAGGAGAGACCTCCCTCTAGCTATGGATCCATGAAGAGTGATGAAGAGGAGGAAGAGGACGAGAACATCACAGAGGCTCAGAGCTCGTCTGGCAAACCGGAACTACCTACCTTCACTACACATACAGGGTACACACACACACACAGCTTGCCTGTCAAACCTGACTGACCACCTACAGTGCCTTCAGAAAGTATTCACACTCATTCATGTTATGGTATGCTTGTCATCGGCAAGGACTAGGGAGTTTTTTTTGGGGGATAAAAAGAAACGGAATAGAGCTAAGCACAGGCATAATCTTAGAGGAAAATCTGGTTCAGTCTGCTTTCCAGCAGATACTGGTAGACAAATTCACCTTTCAGCAGGACAGTAACCTAAAACACAAGGTCAACTACTGTATACACTGGAGTTGCTTACCAAGACGACATTCAATGTTCCTGAGTGGCCTAGTTACAGTTTTGACTTAAATCGGCTTGAAAATCTATGGCAAGACTTGAAAATTGTTGTCTAGCAATGATCAACAACCAACTTGAGAGCATGAAGAATTTTTTAAATAATATGTGCAAATATTGTACAGTCCAGGTGTGGAAAGCTCTTCGAGACTTACCCAGAACGACTCGCAGCTGTAGTGGCTGACAAAGGTGATTGTAACATGTATTGACTTGGGGTGTGAATACTATACTATACTACTGTTTATAAATGTGGTATTTCTGTATTTCATTTTGAATAAATGTGCATTTTTTGTTTACTTTGTCGTTATGGGGTGTTGTGTGTAGATGGGTGAGAAATCAATTTAATAAGTCAAGGGGTAAGAATACTTTTGGAAGGCACTGTATGCTGTCACTGGGTATTACACACATACTGTGACCACATAACACTATCAGATTGTTTCCTGGTTGGTTTCCCTAATCTATTAAGTTAATTTGAAAGGTTTGACAAATCCTCCTTCCATCCGTTCTCCTGTCCTGACGTTGTCCTGACGTTGAGGTTGTGCTAATGCGCTCTTGTTCCTCCAGGGTCCAGCTGTTCCCCAACGTGGATACAGAGACAGTCTTCACTGAGATCACACAGCAGCAGTCTGTCAGCAAGCAGCCCGGAGAGGGAGTCTTTGTCTCAGAGAGGTAACACACACACACACACACACACACACACACACACACACACACACACACACACACACACACACACACAGTTGCTGACCAGGTACATTCTCTTTCTCTCTGTCTGTAGATATGTAGAGGAGGAGGAGGAGGAGGAGGAGGAAGAAGAAAGGTATGAAAGCAGCCCCATCCAGGTAGACTCCCCTGAGCCCTCGCCCCCCGTCGAGCCTGAGGACCAATCACAGGAAGAGGGCGATGATGAGCAACAGCCAGGCTCGTTGCATCCTGAAATCGACCTGCCTTACATATTCAAGGTGTGCGAGCGTGTTTTCACCAAATGTGAATGTGTGTCTGATCTGTGGTTCTCTTGCTATGAGAGTATGTATGTGAACTCTCTCTCCTCCCCTTCCTCTATCTAGTCCATGCAGAGTTCTCTGACATCACTGCAAGGTCATGAGTTAGACCTGTTTAAGCGGTATCTGTGTGGGCGCCACCCCTCCTTCACCATGGCTGACCTGAAGGAGGGTGATACGCTGGACCTAGTGGATAAGATGCTGGAGCGCTTCGGTAAAGGCTAACACAAATTTACAGTCGCACCCTGTTAGTGCACTGCTTACCACAATCACACCCTGTTAGTGCACTGCTTACTACAATCACACCCTGTTAGTGCACTGCTTACTACAATCACACCCTGTTAGTGCACTGCTTACTACAATCACACCCTGTTAGTGCACTGCTTACTATAATCACACCCTGTTAGTGCACTGCTTACTACAATCACACCCTGTTAGTGCACTGCTTACTACAATCACACCCTGTTAGTGCACTGCTTACTACAATCACACCCTGTTAGTGCACTGCTTACTACAATCACACCCTGTTAGTGCACTGCTTACTACAATCACACCCTGTTAGTGCACTGCTTACTACAATCACACCCTGTTAGTGCACTGCTTACCACAATCACACCCTGTTAGTGCACTGCTTACCACAATCACACCCTGTTAGTGCACTGCTTACTACAATCACACCCTGTTAGTGCACTGCTTACTACAATCACACCCTGTTAGTGCACTGCTTACTACAATCACACCCTGTTAGTGCACTGCTTACTACAATCACACCCTGTTAGTGCACTGCTTACTACAATCACACCCTGTTAGTGCACTGCTTACTACAATCACACCCTGTTAGTGCACTGCTTACTACAGTCGCACCCTGTTAGTGCACTGCTTACCGCAATCACACCCTGTTAGTGCACTGCTTACTACAATCACACCCTGTTAGTGCACTGCTTACCGCAATCACACCCTGTTAGTGCACTGCTTACTACAATCACACCCTGTTAGTGCACTGCTTACTACAATCACACCCTGTTAGTGCACTGCTTACTACAATCACACCCTGTTAGTGCACCGCTTACTACAATCACACCCTGTTAGTGCACTGCTTACTACAATCACACCCTGTTAGTGCACTGCTTACTACAATCACACCCTGTTAGTGCACTGCTTACTACAATCACACCCTGTTAGTGCACTCCTTACTGCAATCACACCCTGTTAGTGCACTGCTTACTACAATCACACCCTGTTAGTGCACTGCTTACTACAATCACACCATGTTAGTGCACTGCTTACTACAATCACACCCTGTTAGTGCACTGCTTACTACAATCACACCATGTTAGTGCACTGCTTACTACAAAAGAAGCAACTACAGCAGGAACAGGTTGTCATTAGAGATGGTGATCATTTTTACATTTTAGTCATTTAGCAGACGCTCTTATCCAGAGCCACTTACAGTTAGTGAATGCATACATTTTTCATACTGGCCCCCCGTGGGAAATGAACCCACAACCCTGACGTTGCAAGCGCCATGCTCTACCAACTGAGCTACACGGGGCCCATTATGTCTAATGTATTTATAAAGTGCTTTCGGTTTTTGATGCTGATTATTATGTGTCAGGTAAACTGCAAGGCCTGCGGGAGGCGATCCGCATGCTGGAGAGCATGAAGAAATCCGAGCTGGCCCAGGAACTAGAGAATAAGTGCAAGAGAGGTAACAACCAGAACTGTCTTTCACTCACCACACCTGGGTTAAATTACATGTGTATTTGTTATTTCAAATCAAATCAAACTTTATTTATATAGCACATTTCAGACATGAATGCAACGCAGTGCGCTTCACAGGAAAGAACATAAATAAAAACTTCAATATTTACTACACAACAAACATAAGATAAAAATAACAAAAGAATAACAAAAACGGAATGACTAAAATGCTTTCCTAAGGAAAAGCTAAGCTAAAAAGGTGTGTTATAAGATCTATTTAAAAAATGTCAAGAGTTTCGGCCCCCCTCAGGTTCTCTGGCAGACTATTCCAGAGGCTGGGGGCATAGTAACTAAAGGCTGCCTCTCCATGCCTCTTGGTCCCAGGCTTTGGGATACTTAAAAGGCCAGTGCCAGAGGACCTGAGGGACCTACTGGGTACATAACTCATGTGTTGGGGTGCACAATTGTGGATTTATTTAAAAACCAATAGAATCATCTTTAAATGAATTCTAAAACTCGCAGGCAGCCAGTGCAGAGACTTTAAAACCGGTATAATGTGTGCTCTCTGTCTAGTCTTGGTCAGTACCCGTGCTGCAGCATTCTGTATGTTTTGCAGTTGACCAATGGCTTTCTTGGGTAGACCAGACAGGAGAGCATTACAGTAGTCAAGTCTGCTTGTAATAAAAGCATGGATGAGTCTCTCTGCATCTGCCTGAGATAGAAACGGCCGCACCATGGCAATGTTCCTCAGGTGGTAAAAAGCTATTTTGGTCACATTCCTAATGTGTGATTCGAAATTGAGTTCAGAATCTAAAATGACACCTAGGTTTTTTACCTGGTGTTTTGTCTTTATTGCCTGTGAATTAAAATGTGCCAAGGGGTAACATATATTAACTGAACAGTACCAGACCCAAAATCGAACCTTGTGGAATGCCACATGTAATATGTATTTTCTGAGTTATGTTCACCAATTGTGACAAATTCTCAACAGGTTAAATAGGTCCTAAACCAATTTAGAACTGGACCGAAGAGGCCAACCCACCTCTCCAGTCTGTCCAGAAGGACATCATGGTCAACAGTGTTGAATGCAGCACTTAAATCCAAGAGTACAAGGACAGAGAGCTGTTTGGCATCTGTGTTGGCTCTAAGATCATTTACCACTTTAACTAAGGCTGTCTCTGTGCTGTGGTGGGCACGAAAACACAGTTGGCACTTAGAAAAATAATTGAGCTGTTTGAAAACCAATTTCTCCAGAATTTTGCTTAACAATGGAAGGTTGGATTATTGGCTGAAGAATCTAGATGACTTTTCTTCAGAAGGGGTTTCACCATAGCAGTGTTTAGTGCAGTGGGGAAAGTGCCTGTGAACAGGGAGTGATTAACAATAGCTTGCAGTTCTTCAGATATGCAATAGGATAGGATCGAGAAGGCAGGTAGAAGTCTTATATTGTGATATCACTTTCCTGAGCATGACTGTGTCAACCAAGGAAAATAACTCCATAGTGCCTTTGCGTGGTAGGCTATGGCACATATCAAACTTCTCATCAGGTCTTGCTTGACTGATACCCAGCCTAATGTTTGCCATCTTATCTCTGAAATATGCTGCAAACTCATCACATTTACAGTTGAAGTTTACATACACCTTAGCCAAATACATTTAAACTCAGTTTTTCACAATTCCTGACATTTAATCCTAGTAAAAATTCCATGTCTTAGGTCAGTTAGGATCACCATTTTATTTTTAGAATGTGAAATGTCAGAATAATAGTAGAGAGAATGATTTATTTCAGCTTTTATTTCTTTCATCACATTCCAAGTGGGTCAGAAGTTTACATACACTCAATTAGTATTTGGTAGCATTGCCTTTAAATTGTTTAACTTGTGGAAGGCTACCCGAAACGTTTGACCCAAGCTTCCCACAATAAGTTGGGTGAATTTTGGCCCATTCCTCCTGACAGAGTTGGTGTAACTGAGTCAGGTTTGTAGGCCTCCATGCGCACACACACTTTTTCAGTTCTGCCCACAAATGTTCTATAGGATTGAGGTCAGGGCTTTGTGATGGCCACTCCAATACCTTGACTTTGTTGTCCTTAAGCCATTTTGCCACAAGTTTGGAAGTATGCTTGGGGTCATTGTCCATTTGGAAGACCCATTTGCGACCAAGCTTTAACTTCCTGACTGATGTCTTGAGATGTTGCTTCAACATATCCACATAATTTTCCTTCCTCATGATGCCATCTATTGTGTGAAGTGCACCAGTCCCTCCTGCAGCAAAGCACCCCCACAGCATGATGCTGCCACCCCCGTGCTTCACGGTTGGGATGGTGTTGTTCAGCTTCCAAGGGACCCCCTTTTTCCTCCAAACATAACGATGGTCATTATGGTCCAACAGTTCTATTTTTGTTTCATCAGACCAGAGGACATTTCTCCAAAAAGTACAATCTTTGTCCCCATGTGCAGTTGCAAACCGTAGTCTTTGTTTTTTAACAGAGGTTTTGGAGCAGTGGCTTCTTCCTTGCTGAGCGGCCTTTCAGGTTATGTCGATATAGGACTTGTTTTACTGTGGATATAGATACTTTTGTACCTGTTTCCTCCAGCATCTTCACAAGGTCCTTTGCTGTTGTTTTGGGATTGATTTGCACTTTTCGCACCAAAGTACGTTCATCTCTAGGTGACAGAACGTGTCTCCTTCCTGAGCGGTATGACGGCTGCGTGGTCCCATGGTGTTTATACTTGCGTACTATTATTTGTACAGATGAACGTGGTACCTTCAGGCATTTGGAAATTGCTCCCAATGATGAACCAGATTTTTTTTCCAAGGTCTTTTTTTTCCTGTGGTCCTCTGTAGCTCAATCGGTAGAGCATGGCGCTTGTAACGCCAGGGTAGTGGGTTCGATCCCCGGGACCACCCATACGTAAAAATGTATGCACACATGACTGTAAGTCGCTTTGGATAAAAGCGTCTGCTAAATGGCATATTATCATTATATTATTATTGGCTGATTTCTTTTGATTTTCCCATGATGTCAAGCAAAGAGGCACTGAGTTTGAAGGTAGGCCTTGAAATACATCCACAGGTACACCTCCAATTGACTCAAATGATGTCAATTAGCCTATCAGAAGCTTTTAAAGCCATAACATCATTTTCTGGAATTTTCCAAGCTGTTTAAAGGCACAGTCAACTTAGTGTATGTAAACTTCTGACCCACTGGAATTTTGATACAGTGAATTATAAGTAAAATAATCTGTCTGTAAACAATTGTTGGAAAAATTACTTGTCATGCACAAAGTAGATGTCCTAACCGACTTGCCAAAACTATAGTTTGTTAACAAGACATTTGTGGAGTGGTTGAAAAATGAGTTTTAATGACTCCAACCTAAGTGTATGTAAACTTCCGACTTCAACTGTAGATGTGGAGGAAAGTTCACATAGATCCTATCCCCGCAAACCTATCAGGCCATCAATGTTCAAGAAAAGTACATACTTTTTTTCTGTGCATTTGAGTATTTCAAATACACAGCACAAAACAAGTACTTTTATTTTATTATTTGAATGGTTATTTTTTTTTTAAAGTTGACAATTGTATTTGAAAGTATTTAAGACTTATTTCAAATACTTTTTTCAAATACCTGGGTTGAATGCATGGGAGTGTATTTGAGTCAGTGTATTTGAGTATTTTCAAATACTTTCCAAGTTTATTTCCAAATACTTTCAACTACTTGTTGTTTTTCTTCAAATAAAGGTTATCGGAATACTTGTTTCGAAATGTATTGAAAAGTAATTGAAAAACAGTGCATTCGGAAAGTTTTCAAACCCCTTGACTTTTTCCACATTTTGTGGAATTATTATTCTAAAATGGATGACATTGTATTTTTTCCCTCCGTCTACACACAATACCCCATAATGACAAAGCAAAAACAGGTTTTTATTAATTTTTGCAAATGTATTACAAATTTAAAAAAACTATCAAATGTACATAAGTATTCAGACCCTTTATCCAGTACTTTGTTGAAGCACCTTTGGCAACGATTACAGCCTCGAGTCTTCTTGGGTATGACGCTACAAGCTTGGCACACCTGTATTTGGGGAGCTTCTCCCATTCTTCTCTTCAGAACCTCAAGCTCTGTCTGGTTGGATGGGGAGCGTCGCTGCACAGCTATTTTCACGTCTCTCCAGAGATGTTTGATCAGGTTCAAGTCCGGGCTCTGGCTGGGCCACTCAAGGACATTCAGAGACTTGTCCCGAAGCCACTCCTGCATTGTCTTGGCTGTGTGCTTAGGGTCGTTGTCATGTTGGAAGGTGAACCTTCGCCCCAGTCTGAGGTCCTGAGCGCTCTGGAGCAGGTTTTCATCAAGGATCTCTCTGTACTTTGCTCTGTTCATCTTTCCCTCAATCCTGACTAGTCTCACAGTCCCTGCCGCTGAAAAATATCCCCACAGCATGATGCCGCCCACCCCCATGCTTCACCGTAGGGATGGTGCCAGACATGATGCTTGTCATTCAGGCCAAAGAGTTCAATCTTGGTTTCATCAGACCAGAGAATCTTGTTTCTCATGGTCTGAGAGTCCTTATGTACGTTTTGGCAAACTCCAAGTCTGGCCACTCTATCATAAAGGCCTGATTGGTGGAGTGCTGCAGAGAGGGTTGTCCTTCTGGAAGGTTCTCCCATCTCCACAGAGGAACTCTGGAGCTCTGTCAGAGTGACCATCAGGTTCTTGGTCACCTCCCTGACCAAGGCCCTTCTCCCCCGATTGCTCAGTTTGGCCGGGCGGCCAGCTCTAGGATGAGTCTTGGTGGTTCCAAACTTCTTCCATTTAAGAATGATGGAGGCCACTGTGTTGTTGGGGACCTTCAATGCTGCAGAAATGTTTTGGTACCCTTCCTCAGATCTGTGCCTCGACACAATCCTGTCTTAGAGCTCTACGGTCAATTCCTTGGGCCTCATGGCTTGGTTTTTGCTCTGATATGCATTGTCAACTGTGGGACCTTATATAGACAGGTGAGTGCCTTTCCAAATCATGTCCAATCAATTGAATTTACCACAGGTGGACTCCAATCAAGTTGTAGAAACATCTCAAGGATGATCAATGGTAACAGGATGCACCTGAGGTCAATTTCGAGTCTCATAGCAAGCAAAGGGTCTGAATACTTAAGGTATGTTTTATTTTTTCTAAATTTGCAAAACTTTCTAAAAACCTGTTTTCGCTTTGTCATTATGGGGTATTGTGTGTAGATGAGGATTTGGTTTTATTTAATCAATTTTAAAATAAGGCTAACATCACAAATATGTGGAAAAAGTCAAAGGGTCTGAATACTTTCCGAATGCACTGTACCTGAGATAGTATTTGAACCCAGGTCTGCAGCAGACGAGACTGGGGAGGTATCTGTACTTAATCAGTCAGACTGTTCTCTCACTCCCTCCACCCAATCTCTCTATTTATGTCTCTGTCTCCACTCCCTCCACCCAATCTCTCTATTTATGTCTCTGTCTCAACTCCCTCCACCCAATCTCTCTATTTATGTCTCTGTCTCTACTCCCTCCACCCAATCTCTCTATTTATGTCTCTGTCTCCACTCCCTCCACCCAATCTCTCTATTTATGTCTCTGTCTCCACTCCCTCCACCCAATCTCTCTATTTATGTCTCGGTCTTCTACTCCGTTCCACCCAATTCTCTCTATTGATGTCGCTGTCCCCCCCCTTCATCCCCCTCTCGGTGTCTTCCCCCTCTTCCATCCCTCTCTCTGTCTCCCCCCTCTTCCATCCCTCTCTCTGTCCTCCCCCTCTTCCATCCCGCTCCTCGTCCTGTCCCCCCCTCTTCCATCCCTTCTCTTCTGTCGCCCCCTCTTCCTCCGCTCTCTGTCTCCCCCTCTTCCATCCCCTCTCTTCTTGTCTCCCCCTTCGTCCATCGCCCCCCCTGTCTCCCCCTCTTCCATCCCTCTCTCTGTCTCCTCCTCTTTCCCATCCCTCTCTCTGTCTCCCTCCGCTTCCATCCCTTCTCGTCTGGTCCTCCCCCCTCTTCCAGCCCCCTCTCTGTCTCCCCCTCTTCCATCCCCCTCTCTGTCTCCCCCTCTTCCATCCCTCTCTCTGTCTCCCCCTCTTCCATCCCCCTCTCTGTCTCCCCCTCTTCCATCCCTCTCTCTGTCTCCCTTTCTTTAGCTGTGATCCAGTATGAGTTGAAGTGTGGTCTGATCCGGAGACACAACTGTATCTTTGAGGGTGTTCCCCGGGCGGGCCAGCATCTGTACCTGAAGTACGTCTACGTTGAACCCCAAATCTCCACCCAAGGTCACGGCGGGGTCAACCCCCTGCACGGGATCCGGTCCGATCCCCCCAAACCTCCCCAGGTCGCCTCCCCAGACAGCATGATTGGTGGGAATAACATATTCCGTCTCCGGTCAATTAATGGGTCTCCAGTGCGGTGCGTTCTGACCACGGGGGTGCCCGGAATCGGAAACTCTGTGGCGGTCCAGAAGTTCATGCTGGATTGGGCAGAGGAACGGGCTAATTTCGACATTCAGTTTGTGTTCCCGTTTCCATTCCGGGAGATGCAGTCTCTGAGGGAGCGGAACAGAGTTGAGAAGAAGAACATCAGTATGTTGGAGCTGCTGCAGACATACCACAATGAGACACGCTCCATGGACTTTCTGGAGCAGCCAGACTGCAAGGTGCTGTTTGTCATGGACGGGATTGACATTTACAAAGGAAATCTCGACTTCAAGGTACACACTCACACAGGGCTGCTCACACACACTCACACAGGGCTGAAATGAGGTGTTTGGCTATGGAACCGCTCTGTACAGTACCTATAAAGAGATCTCTCCTTCTCCCCACTCTCCTCCAGAACACTCCTGTTGTGACTGACATTAAGGCTGTTCTTCCCCTGGACTCTCTGTTGGTGAATCTGATCCGAGGCGCTCTGCTGCCCCACGCCCTCTTGTGGCTGACTGGGAGACGTGCAGCTACCACACAGATACCTCCTGAGTACATCCACCGTGTCGCTGAGATACAGGGCTACAGGTGTGTGTGGTGTTTAGAGGGGGGTGTGGGGATTGGGTGTTAGGATAGTGTTTTGTTTTATTGAGTAACTAACCCCCTCTAACATCCTATGAGTTGTTGCAACACAATGTCAAGCACTGAGGGTGAGTAAAATGAAACACTTCGATATAAAATGCTAACCGTTGACTATTTTATTGCTGTTATTAGTTAGTCTTTTTATTGTGTTACAGTGACGAGCAGAAGGATGACTATCTGACCATGCGTTACTCAGACAAGTCTCTGGCTGATAAGATCCTCAGACACACCAAGAACTCCCCCACCATCTACACCCTGTGTCACATTCCCTTCTGCTGCTGGATGGTTGCCATGGTGTATGAGAGGGGTTTCCGTAACCATGACAACTACGGAGATGAGCCCCCCAAGATAACGTCCTTCTTCATCCACTACATGATCATCCAGAACAACCGCAAGCTGGAGAAATACTATGGGCAAAACCCCAACTCACAGGTCTGATCCACCCTCCTAATATATAATATAAACAGTGCCTTCGGAAAGTATTCAGACCTCGACTTTTTCCACATTTTGTTACGTTATTCTAAAATGGATGAAAAAATTATCAATCTACACACAATACCCCATAATGACAAAGCCAAAAGAGGTTTAGAAATTCTTATTAATTTATTACAAATAAATAACAGATATCTTATTTACATAAGTATTCAGACCCTTTGCTATGAGACACAAAATTGAGCTGAGGTGCATCCTGTTTCCATTGATCATCCTTGATGTTTCTACAACTTGATTGGAGTCCACCTGTGGTAAATTCAATTGATTGGACATGATTTGGAAAGACACACCTGTCTATATAAGGTCCCACAGTTGACAGTGCATGTTAGTGCAAAAACCAAGCCATGAGGTTGAAGGAATTTTCCGTAGAGCTCCGAGACAGGATTGTGTCGAGGCACAGATCTGAGGAAGGGTACCAAAACATTTCTGCAGCATTGAAGGTCCCCAAGAACACAGTGGCCTCCATCACTCTTAAATTGAAGAAGTTTGGAACCACCAAGACTCATCCTAGAGCTGGCCGCCCGGCCAAACTGAGCAATCGGGGGAGAAGGGCCTTGGTCAGGGAGGTGACCAAGAATCCGATGGTCACTCTGACAGAGCACTAGAGTTCCTCTGTTGAGATGGGAGAACCTTCCAGAAGGACAACCATCTCTGCAGCACTCCACCAATCAGGCCTTTATGGTAGAGTGGCAAGACGGAAGCCACTCCTCAGTAAAAAAGCACATGACAGCCCGCTTGGAGTTTACCAAAAGGCACCGAAAGACTCTCAGACCATGAGAAACAACATTCTCTGGTCTGATGAAACCAAGATTGAACTCATTGGCCTGAATGCCAAGCGTCACGTCTGGAGGAAACCTGGCACCATCCCTACGGTGAAGCGTGGTGGCAGCATCATGCTGTGGGGATGTTTTTCAGCGGTAGGGACTGCAAGACTAGTCAGGATCGAGGTAAAGATGAACGGAGCAAAGTACAGAAATATCCTTGATGATAACCTGCTCCAGAGCTCTCAGGGCCTCAGACTTGGGCAAAGGTTCACCTTCCAACAGGACAATGACCCTAAGCCAAGAAAACGCAGGAGAGGCTTCGGGACAAGTCTCTGAATGTCCTTGAGTGGCCCAGAGCCCAGACTTGAACCAGATTGAACATCTCTGGAGAGACCTGAAAATAGCTGTGCAGCGACACTCCCCATCCAACCTGCCAGAGCTTGAGAGGATATGCAGAGAAGAATGGGAGAAACTCCCCAAATACAGGTGTGCCAAGCTTGTAACATACCCAAGAAGACTCGAGGCTGTAATCACTGCAAAAGGTGCTTCAACAAAGTACTGAGTAAAGGGTCTGAATACTTATGTAAATGTGATTTCAGTTTTTTATTTTTAATAAATTAGTAAAATATTCTAAAAACCTGTTTTACCTTTTGTCATTATGGGGTATTGTGTGTAGATTGATGAGGAAAAAAACAAATTTAATCAATTTTAGAATAAGGCTGTAACAATGTGGAAAAGTATTTTGGCAGATGATTTCATCCAAAGCAATTTAGTCACATGTGCATATATTTTATGTATGGATACCCACTATCCCGGCGTTGCAAGCACCATGCTCTGCCAGCTGAGCTACAGAGGATCTCCTCCCTAATGTTGGTTCACGCATCTTACCTGCTAGTTGTGTACTAGGTGGTCCTCTGTAGCTCAGCTGGTAGAGCACGGCGCTTGTAACGCCAAGGTAGTGGGTTCGATCCCCGGGACCACCCATACACAAAAATGTATGCACGCATGACTGTAAATTGCTTTGGATAAAAGCGTCTGCGAAATGGCATATTATTATTATTATTATTATTATTATTACTAGGTCTTATGTACAGTATAAAGACTGAGTCTGGTATTTTCTTTTTTCGATGCTAAACATCTCTAGAAAGTCTCAGGTTCTGGTCCCAGGAGAGTTTGATTTTGTTTAGCGTCTTCCCCACATTATGATGTCAGATATGACATTGGTGTAGGTTGTCCGCTGGTGGTGCTGTTATTGTGTTTATTGTGTAAGGTATCTTTTGAACCTGAAATAAATAAATACGTATTATTACTGTATTATTCCTATAATCAGAAATGGACGGAAACGGACCAAGTGTTCATGTTGAAGCTGGGTCACCTGGCTCTGAAGCTGTTGGATAATAACCGCTCGGTGTTCTATGAAGAGGACCTGAACGAGTACAGACTGCTGGTGAGCGAGGTGGCCTGTTTTTCGGGCCTGTGCACTGAGCTGCCCAGGGCAAATCCCAAAGACAAGCGGGTCTTCTGCTTCACACACCTGAGCTTCCTGGTGGGTTGGACTTCCTGTCACATGACTTTACTTCTCTTGATTTTAGGTATTGTTATTGAGATTGACAGAGGTATTATTATTCGTAATGAATATGTTGTTCTTATCATCAGGAGTTCATGGCTGCACATTATGTATGGCTCACCTTCCGCCTGGAGGAGCGGAACGTTCTAGACCAGTCCTACCGCGTCCCCAAGCTGTTCAAGGAGCACTCTCTGGTGGACTTGTACCGCAAAGCCATTGACCGTTACCTCAGCGCTCCTGTCGGCCAGTACGACCTGTTCCTGCGCTTCCTGTGCGGCCTGTCCATGACGCTCAATGACGGTCTGCTCCGAGGGATGCTGTTCCCCCATAACGCCCCTCCGCTGAAAGGTCTGGAGGACGTGGTCAGGCTGCTGACCAAGAGGAAGGGCAGTGCAGGGCAAGAGAGACAGGACAACCTTAGTGAATGCCTCAGGGAGCTGAAAGAGTCTGAGGACTGAAAAGTCTCATGCTGTTAGCAAACACGTTTGATCATTTGTTTTTAATGCGACCAAAGTATCGGTGTAGTCTCTGTGCCCCGCTAAAGGCAAAGCAATGGGCTTTCAGTCTGTCCCATCCAACTAGCAGACAGAGAGAGATGGAGAGATAAGGGAGAAATCACAAATGTGTCTTACCAAAAATAGTTATAATCATTATTGTGTCTGAACAAACTCCGTGACTGTGCCTAGTCTGTTGTAAGGACTAATATATAACCCATTAACTACCAGTCAAGATAAAGACCAAGGTGCTTGCTAGCCTTGTGTTGCCATACAGCCTGTTCATCCTCTACTCAACAAGATGACGACACACTGGAGGACGGACGGATGCACGCTCTGAGACCGTACTGACCCTAGTAGCAGAATCCATTATTTATTGCTTCTCCATCACTGACACTAGCCAGCACACGTCTCCAGTTGTAGTACAGGCAGAATCAGGTATTTAGTTAACATTTTCATGATTTGTTTAACATAAACTTGATGGAAAGGGAGTACTTGTATTGATTTTGTTTATGTGCACACCTTTATGAGTGTTTAAATTAAATTACATGTGTATCTGTGTCTATGTAGTTTGTGTATTGGGGTGAAGGGTGAAAGGTGAAGGGTGTACAGTAGAGATGGGCGAAATGGGGAAAAAAATCCATATCACACTAATTGGCTGAATTATCATGATAAATTGAAAGATGTTTATTCATGTGCACCAGTTATTTTTGTAGATGACCCTTAGTAGGGCTGACCCCAATTAGTCGACTGGTCGATTGTTTGGTCGTTAGGCTATTGGTGGACCGAGATTGTTTTAGTCGAGCAGTAACATACATATATATTTTTTGCACCCATCTCAGTGAACTAATCCACTGCGGAGGCTTAGACTAAAAGCCAATTTATGCTCGGTTCGCTCTCCATCCAATTTGTACACATTCATTGTTTCATAACTTCATTGTATGAATTGTTTGCGTTTAATTGTTAGTGTATATCAATTCCCCATTACATATAATCACCAGTAGTACGTTTACCGTTAATTCCTATAATTTCTAATCTACAATGTTTGTTACTTTGGTTACGGTCATTTATTTTAACGCATTCAATATTATTATTCCAGTCTTCCTGTTCTCATTGTCTGAGTGGAGACATTGTTTGCAGAGTGCACAACCTATGCTACACTTGTGAGAAACAATTTTTGGTTTATTTCATTCCATTTACAAGTTTTGTCAATTTAGTCATTGTCTTTTGTTTGGAACGCTCCTGTCAATGTTGAGTAATAGGCTACCTGGCCTGTGCGCAAATGTAGGCCTATAAATGTGCCCATTTGGGGATCTGATAGTATTTCTGATTGGTTTAACGCACCACCACTAATGACCTGTGGAGCTTCTCAAAGTAATGTTTTCTTCACCTCAAACTGCAAGCAAACAAAGTCTGTTTTTACATCCATTGACAATTACAATAGTTTCTCAATGTATTTGAAAAGTCTTTCCAGCTCTCTCCCTTTCGATAACCACTCAGCGTGACAGGGGAAAATGGCTTCTTATCAGTGCTTGACTTGGACTGAAATAGGTTCCGGTACTCATTTTGGGTGCTGGTACTGTTTTATATTTAGGTGCAGGAGCTCCACTATACTTTTGAGATAATATTCTATAAGAACAGGAGCTCAAGCAGTAGAACATTTGAGGTGCCGGTACTCCGCTCCGGTGAGCTCCTGCCCAAGTCAAGCACTGCTTCTTATCCCTTGCACAAATAGCGTACAGCTGTGTCTGTCCCGAGTAGCTTTGGGCTGGACCCAAGTTAATAGTTGATACAATGTTTTAAGTTCGTTGCAGACAGGCCATGTGTAGCCAATGTGATTTATAGGATATTTATTTTTAAATCAGGATATTTTCTACCTGCAGGATTTATGTAGGCTATTTTTACATAGTTGGCAATGGCAATAGAAGTTACTTTTTAGGTTTATCATTTTAATTTAGATTTGGATAGAATTTTGATTAACAAGATGACAATGATTGAGATATGAAGACATTATTATAAATTAAATTAAACCGTTTCACGAAAATGTGCATATGAAAACCATAACTGGCACGCAGATCGGTGGCAATGGTAAGATAAATTGGCATTCCACATGAGAAAGGTTGCCGACTCCTCGTGTAGCCTATTACCGGCAACTTCAGGAGAGTAATGGCAGAATCTGCGAAAGCCAGCAGGAACAGGAGAATCGTTGGGTCAGGTTTTTTTTTTATTCTGGTTATCTAGATCGCTGGTGCCCTCTTGAGGCATCAAACCATAAGCTTAAAGCATCAGACAAGCTCAATGCACGTAGTTGATCTTATTAAAACACATGGTGTGTCTATATATGGAAAAATACAAGCTTAAACATTGAGCAATCAATTGGTTGAAAGAACAGACGACTATTGGTTGACCAATATATTTTTTTGTCGGGGACAGCCCTGACCCGTACTACTACTACTAAATGTTGCAGCTATCAATTGTCCCATGAACAATCACCCATATTAGCTAACTTATTTCATTTAAAACTTCACATTTCTCCAGTAGGTTATTTGGGTGATTCTACAGAAATAGTGCATTTTGAAGAGCCAACACAATTTAGATTTTTTAACCAAAACATTAGTTGTAAGTTAATCCTTTACCATTATAAATCAACATAAATGCCAGCTTAAAGTATTTTCATATTTTTAATACATAACATAAAAAAATGCAAGTGCTGCCTTTTTGTCACTGGTGTTACCTATATTTTAGATGACAATTCAGGCTTTCCTGAATGTAATTTCACAATTTAATTTGCATATATAATCAGACAGAAAAGGTTAATGCTAATATGAAGAAATTGTTTTGATTATAAATAATTTACTTTAAACCGGTATGTGTAAAGTTCTATTGTGCTACATTTATATTTCTGCCACATGTTTTATGTTGTAACATCAGAAGTAATTGAGGTTGAGTCATCAAAATTAAAATGCTTACTAATGCTTACAGCAGCAGTTGGGTAGATACAAATAAACATATTCCAAGAAAATGGGCAACTGATGCCAGAACACCAATATGCCATGAAGTAACATCAGTGGCGCAATGTAACCCCAGTGACACAATGTGAAACCAATGACATAACATACGGTTATTTCAAACAAATTTGATCAATTTAGTAACATTTTTTTTATTACAAATCATTTTATAACGTGTTGATTTCATATGAACAATAAAATGAGGGTTATTGGTCAAAGATTAAGACCAAAAGATGAAGCCTATTGACTAAAATGTCTTCCTTAACACATTGTCGTACAAACATAACATCTCTATTAGAACTATAGAAACACAACATTGAATGTAAACTAAGACTAAGTTTTCCCAAAAGCACTGATACAAACATTTTGTATGCAGTAAAACATGTTCATAGAATAGGCCTATTTTCTGTACTCACTTTTCCTGTACTAATTATTTCCCATACTAGCTACACGTTTACTTGAGATGTTTGTCTTTAGAAAAGTTTGTCCATATGTTTGTCTTTGCCATGTTATTGTGTCACGTCCATCTGTTATCATCTCCGAGCCAGTCTCCATTGCTTTCCAGCCACTGACGCCTTCTTCTCTGGTAGCCAGTTCACAACTGCCACTTTCACACATTCAGGTGCTCCTCCAAGTACTTCCAGATACTGTGGTCAATCTGAGCTGATCTTTTCTTCACTGGCAGCGGCTTTGGCATCAGACACACAATCTGAACATCCCAGTTTATCATCTCTTGGGCTTGGCCAGAAGAACTTGTTGACTCCATTCCTGTGCATGCACTTAACTTTGATGTTATGTTCTTCGACCTCCAGTATAACGCCAGGGTATGGTTGTTCATCGTAGTTCACAATGCACCACTGTCCAGTGTGGTGAGCCTCGATGACATCTGGACGAAGTGGAGCTGAGGTATCCGGGTCGATTACATCTGTTTGATGTGGAGTTGAGAGACCATGGCCATTAGCCGGCACTGTCACTGTTGGAAGAATATAATATGCCATTTAGCAGACGCTTTTATCCAAAGCGACTTACAGTCATGCGTGCATACATTTGTTTTGTGTATGGGTGGTCCCGGGGATCGAACCCACTACCATGGCGTTACAAGCGCCGTGCTCTACCAGCTGAGCTACAGAGGACCACGGGTCCATAACATCCCACATGCTTTGCACTGCTTGGCAGAGACAACTTATGTCTCTGTATTTTAGGATGCCAGGCGTGATACTCAAAACCTGGTGCATTCGAATGGTTCCTTTTATGGTTACCAGAGGTACCTCAGAAATCTTCTGTGACTTACTTTCCACCTCTTCCTCACTGACATAATACAAATGTATTTGAGTGCCAGGGTCCCTTACCTCCTGATAGAAAGACATTGCATCTGTTATGTCTTTCCAGTGGTGGACCAAGAGGTCAGCTGACCTCTTTAGTGACCCCCACTCCACCCCAACACTGTCTCTCCTGCTCTCAACATCTGTGGTTTTTCTGTCTGACCCGCCATTGCTTTCCCTCCTGTCTTTTTCCCCTTTCTGTGATATCAGTCACTCTTTCTTTTTTGTCTCTCTAAATCCTTTAAGTAAGTCTGGTGTTTTTTCTTCTCAAGGTAGGGTGCTCTGCGGTCTGGGTCAGCATCCCTGGGCTGTCTGTAGAGTCTTTTCAGTAGCAGTTTATTTGCCATATTTTTCAAAAGGAAAGCCATATTATATGTTACAAATTACAATATACAGTATAAAACCTTACGGTGATAAAAAAGTTAGTAGTCATGTCACTGGTGTTACCAGCAGGAACAGTAACACCAGTGACGAATCTGCTGACAAGGGGTTATATCTAAAATGGTGGCCACAGTAGTTCAAACCACACTTCCTAAATTGTAAATAAATCACTTAATAATGTTATTCGGATCAATTACTTCCCCATACTGTAAACTGTATAACACCAGCGACAGGTTTTAAAGCTTTGCATTAAATTACCAAATTAATCATCATATTGCTAACATTTGAAGACAGAATCGAAGACTCACCATATGCTCTTAAAAACAGCCCCGCCTCCAATGAACCTTTGACCCAGGAAGAAGCCGGCAAGAATGTTGCATTTTTTCAAAGTGGTGTTTTTTTTTATTAAGGGTAACATTAGTGACATGAAATTGAATGAAAGCTATTCCCTGTAAATTATTTATAATATTTAGTTGATATTTTAGTTTTTTTAAGTAATTCCCTTAACAGTTATAATACGTTACTTTGTATTATGACATTTAAAGTTGGAGCAAAAAATATTTTGACTCAAAATATGTCACTAAACCATGACTCCTGGCTCGAGGGACAAGCCATTTTCATGGTGCTGACCGTGTTCTACGCTAATATGAAAAATATAATTTGCAATATAACTGTCTTACATATGTTTATTAACAATAAAACACTTCAATATTTTATTTTATTTAGTGTCATTATCAGATTTCTGGGGTGTTTTTCCCTGGGGGTTAAGGCGGGGGACAGGAAAGCCACCATTTCCGTACAATCACCCATTTATCGTAATGAATGATATCAGCAAAATGTCCAAGATGTTTGGTCGGTGTCGATAATTTTCGGTTTATCGTCCCAGCTCTAGTGTACAGTAGGTCTAGATGTGAGTGAGTGAGACTGTTGTGTTGGCCAGTCAATATCTGCTGTCTGTTGGATTGCTTCATAATACATTTTGCATTACAATGATGTATTTTAGTAAAGATCAACAAACCAGAGAAAAGCATGACTAATGTTCTAATGTTACATTTTAGTCATTTAGCAGACGCTCTTATCCAGAGCGACTTACAGTTAGTGAGTGCATACAT